TTTTCTTAGAAAAGTAAAAACTTTTAAGAGTTTAAATTTCTTTGTTTGTGGGACACTGCTACACGCGTGTTTTGGTACGCAGTAGGTTAGGTACCGTCCTCAGGCAGATGAGTAACTGTGTATTCATGGTACGTTTTATGGTAATTATCCCTTTTGGCACATATAGAACAAATCGAAAAAAAATTAGAAGGACAGAATATAAAACAACATAATACTCTAACAATAGATCAAATTCAACATACACGAATAAGGTGTTTTAAAATTCTGAAAGTTCTTTACATTTAGAATAAGTTAAGATGGAGTTTAAACAAATAAACGCTTCATCACTACAAATAACGGTTTGTTAGTTCTCTATTTTCTAAATAACCTTGAATAATAACGATAATATCTATCTTTCATAAGGACTATTTAAGAGATAAGATTATTTTTTATTAATACCTACCTATCGCTTGTTTTATTGAATCTGTATCAAGAGAGCTTTACGAATAGTCCATATATAATACCACAATACCAGTAACCATAGATATTTTCATTGCAAGTTTCAATTGTATAACGATTATTATTTTTTGTTCTAATTAAACATGGCAACCGTAAGTAGTTGGTGATGTGTACATTTTATAATAAGTTATTTGCAATTATATTTTTAGGGAAAAACAAATATCGACGGACAATATGAAACACCTGACAGTTTTTCCCCGGTAAGTTAGATATTAATGTAAATTTAATATTTTACAAGAATCGTGTAGCTGTAGATGATAAATACAGCGTGATCAACACTGTTTGAGTTGGAAATAGAATTTAAGCTCTGAAGAAAGTTTTATTATGAAGTTTTAACAGTAATAAATAACAAATTTTTACATAAATAATATCACTGTCAACAGTGTCAGTTTTCTCAGTAGAAGCTAAGGTCAAGCGACTGCTCTACCAGTTTCAAGTGAAATTCATTAGTACCAACTGAAAAGTACTTGTTGATCACGGATGCTACTTAAATTTTATAAAATAATATACTTTTGCACTTGTACTTTATCAATTATCAGTCAACACAATGGAAGTAAGATCAGGTACTAAAAATGATAAATGTTGTATTTTAGTATAAAATAGTTGAAATGGTTCATAATCGGATTAAACTTTTTGCAATGAACTGTGTCACACGCTAATAATTTTCCTAGATTGTTGTTTAAATGAGATAAATGAATCATTGAAAAGTTGGCGAAAACTTTCTTCACTCCTAACGTATTTTGCATGCATATTCGAGGGTATTTTTTAGTAACAAAGTTTCGAAAGACAAACATCTGCCACGATATTTTTCAAAAATTTAATATCTATGTATTTTCGTTAACTTTCTTTCGATATAACGGCGTGGCAGGCAACTTTCTATATATTCTATATCAGCAATCAAGCTTCCATTATGTCAATTGTCATCTTCGCAGAGTTCTATAAATTATTTCAAATAAACATCTTTTTGACCTTGGAATGGGTAGATAAAATTCTTCATATAACGGGAAAGAATGTAAATAAGATAAGAATTTCTCAGTACGTGCATAACTTCGACTGTTTATGTGCATACTTGGAAAGATTTCGACTATAAGCACGTTCAAATTTGAAGGATCAGCGGTTAAAGAAAATTAAATTTTCAATTTCAAAATATTCTAGTTGCTGCCAGAAACACGTGTATGTCATGGTTATTCTCAAATTTATCATAAACGTTCGTCTCGGATTTTCCTGAAATGTTTCTAAAAAAATTGCAGCAATTGCATTTTTTGAAGTAAAAGTTCAAATATTTTTGCTTTGTTGTGGTATAAATAAAATTGAACCTTAATATACATAGTGTTTATGAAAAATGATTTAATTATTACAATTCTCAAATATCGATATTATCCTTTGTTCAAATATAAATTGAACAGCCTGTATCTATTACTACATTATTATTATTAATGATATTTCGAAAAGGTTGTCGACGCATGATGAGTGATCTAAAAGACGTGTCCACTTTCATTCAAAAACGGCATCGCTCTTATTTAAAAATTCTGTTTACTTAGAATTTTTACAGTCACCTACGTCGACAACCATGTTGAAATAAATATAGTATGTCTTTACTGTAATTGAATTTCTTACCTTATAAAACATTCTTTTCAGAAATTTAAGAAGAGAAGTGGTACTACTGACGTAGGTAAAGACTACGAACATCTCTACATAGCGAACTTAGTTTTAAAATTAATTATTGACGATGACGTAGAAAATTTTTACTTGTCGTCAAACGATAGTGCATATGGTTCTTTCGATGACGTTGTAGTTGAAATTGAATTCAAAAATCGTATCGAAACGTTCGCTATTCAGTTGAAACACCTCAACAGAACAGGGGGAATACAAATTGAGCAGTTAAACGCATCGAGTGGAAACTTTAGCGTCGAGAAGTATTATAAAGACTTCAAAAAAGAGTCGAAGTTGTCTCACTCGCGTATCAAGATGGTTTTGTTTACCAATTCTAAGCTAAATGATAAATACATAGATCGGTTTAAATTTGGCAAATTGACGCCACATGAACAAGACAGTTTGCTAAGTACACGTATGTCCACGTTGGGAAGACAGTGTTACAGATTTGAAGAAAATGAAGATAATTTCAAAGAATATGGATCTTTTTTTAAAAATTTGTATCTCTACACTGATCAGTCAGATGTCAAAGAACTAGAAACATGTACACTTGAGACTTTCAAGGCATATTTCAAATGCAACGACATCGTTTTCCGAGAGTACCTACATTTTATAACCCGGTGGAGTATGCAGCAAGGAAACAAAACCAAATTAAATAAAACGTGGATGAAACACTTGATAAGTCTTTGTGTGTTTTCACCTTTTATCAGACCGTTATCTTTCGTTGCTGGTGGACTAGCGGACGCCAAAAGAAAAATGTTTAGCGAAGCTGTTTCGAAATTTGACTTGACTTATATAAATAAAAACAATTTCGAGAAAATCGCCTCATTTTGGTCAAACGCTGTCGACGATATTGATGACATAGAAGAAATGATTAAAATGAATTACAAGTACCAACTTATCGAAAAAGGAATAAAAACAAAAGATAGTCTCTATGATAAAGACGCAACAAAAGTATCGCTGCTTATGTGGTTGCTGGGAAAAAGTCCGTTAGTCGTTGAAGGATGCCCACAAGTTTATCAAGCAGTTAAAACATGCCAGGCTAAAAATATAATTATATTAGATAATAATGATAATCGACAAATGTTTAATAAAACACGTGGCCAGCAAAAACCGCACCTGTTTCAAAAATTGTCTGACCTAAAAAAACACGTACAGTTGTATGAAGACATCCTAACGAAATTTACTTATTCATTGCAAGGGCAAAAAGACTCTGTGTTGAAATATTTGCTAGAAATCTGCGAAGATAGCGACAACTTCATCACTACAGATGATTTAGTTGAAATGGTGGAAGATACATTGCTGATTGGAAAATATAAAGATGCTCTACCACCCAGTCACGTCGAAAGAAAATTGACGAAAATTTTAATAGATGTTAAATTTTTGAAAAATATTAAAGAAAATACAATTGTTTTAGTTGATTGTGTAACAGATGTCAGTTCTTTCAAACAATTTTTACCAAATTTGGTAATCAGCGAAGTGGATGACGTTGAGGTCATTCAGAACACAATTCATGAACAGAAAATATATGTTTGTGGAAAGGAAGTTTCACAGGAGGAATTTTCTGAATTTTGTAAAAAAAATTTAGAAACTCAGTTTCATCACGTCAGATACTTAGACAATCATCGTTTGGAATGGATGGAAAGTGAAAATTATGGCGCGGAACGAAAATATACCAAGGAACTTGAGAGGTTTCGTCTACAAAGTGACTTTATGGAGTACACTATACGCGAGCTCCAGTACTTTAGTCATTCTCGACAAAATATCAATATTATCTGCGCCGATGCTGGAATGGGAAAAAGCACATTAACGAAGAGTTTAAAAAAGAGTAGTACGTCGACAAAATGGATCATTTTAATTAACGCCAGAAATCACGCTTTACACTTCAAGAAACATGAGTCAAACGTGGAGAATTTCTTAAAATATATCCTAGACGAAACTTTTAAGGAATGCGTTAATCCGTTCCACGAGAAAGTGTTCAAAACGATGCTGGAACAAAATCAAATACAACTAATATGGGATGGCCTCGATGAAGCATCTGATGCCACTCAAAATTTCATCTTAACTTTGGTAACTGCGTTTTCGGAAAAAAGAGTGAAGCAATGGTTGACTTCCCGAATCAACTTAAGGGATATGTTGGAAGACAAGTTAGGTACGTTTGCGCGAAATATAAAACAATTTAGTGAAGACGAACAAAAAGACTATATAAAAAACCGGTTGCGGATTACCGGTGACGAGTTAAATGAAATTTTTAATAAAATAAGAAAAAATATAATGTCTTTTCCAAATTGTGAAATTTTGGGGATTCCTCTACAAATTTCAATGCTTACAGAATTATTTTTAAACGACAGAGATAAATACCTACCGTTGTTAGACGGTATTTTCACTGTTCTTGATCTATATAAACATTTTGTTGCGGAAAAATTTCATGTTTTGTATAAGGATAAAAATGTCGTTGTATTAGAAAATGAGCAAAATAACCGCAATTTTGAAAATGAAAAGAACACTAGAATGAACTACTATAAAAGTTTAGCTGCAAGTTATTATATTCATAATTCTTTTATAAATAAGATTTTAAATAAATTTTTCTCTTACGACAAGACGATAGACAATTTTGTAGAAAAAATCAAAAACGATGGAGATGGTGTAGGATTTATAAGCCGCATTATATCTAAATATGATGTTGAATTCATTCACAATTCATACGGTGAATATTTTGCAGCGTTATATCTATTTGAACACGAGAATACTAAAGCACGTGATAATAAATTTATCTCTGACAGTAGATATAGAAACATTCGATTTTTTTTAGATTTAATGTTAGCAGGGAATTCAAGGTGTTTGGTAGGTGTTATATATAAGAATATTTCAATTCTGGAAGAATTTATACATACAGATCTAAGTCAAAAAGACGTCATTGGTCGTGACGTTTTGGAAGTGGCATGCGCCTGGAATAAAAGTTATCCACTTGTTAAAAACAATATTATTATGAATGACAAAAGTTTCAATACAGATTGGTTAATGAATAACCATAAGAAAGTCGTTAGAAATCTAATTTATCGTGATATAGCACCAAAATTTTATAAATTCAGCGCATCGGGTCATTCGTGTTTTAAAAAGTTGATGATTTTGTTACCATTTTTGATTCCATTCTATGACGGGAATGAATTCGATCAAGAGTATTTAGTAGCAGTTTTATATTATGCAATTAGATTTGATTGTCCAGTAATTTATGAGTGTATTGAAAATTCTATTCCTTTAAAAACCACATACAATAATATTAGTCCAAGAAGCATTCTAGCCTTAGCTCTTTTCAACAGGTCAACGCAAATATTAAAAAAAATACTTTCCGAAGAACGATTTAGTTCTGAATGGGATTGCGTAGAAGATCTTTTAGTTTTGAATTCGGAAATTGACGAAATATTGAGTTTTGCGTTACATTTTCCAGAATTTAGAACAGATGTGAAAAATTCGAGAGGTCAGTCGTTGGGGCATTATGCGTGTGAAAAAAATTTAACGAAAACCTTACGTTTACTAATTTTTAGAAAAGCGAACATGAATGATCGGGATAGGAACGGAAAACGTCCTATACATCTTGCACGTGAAACGGGGCATTCAAATTGTTTAAAACACATAGCACAAATTGACGTTTTGGATGAAGACGGTCGATTGCCGCTTCATTACGCTTGTGAGGATGGAGATTTAGGTGTAGTAGACATACTGTTAAAGAATGGTACGAAAGTTGACGTACCGGATGGAAATTGCCAGCTGCCGATTCATTATGTATTTCAAAAATGGCATACAGATATTATAAAGGTACTATTAAGCAATGATGTGCAAGTGAATGTTCCGGATAGAGATGGCAGGTTGCCTATACATTATGCTTGTGAACATGGAGATTTACACATACTAGAATTATTGGTAACGAATGGAGCGAAAGTGAATGTTCCGGATGGAGATGGACAACTGCCGATACATTATGCTTGTGAACATAAAGATTTAGCTATGGTGAAAATACTGTCAACGAATGGTGCGGAAGTTGATGTTGTGGATAAAAATGGTCATCTACTGATTCATTATGTGTTTCAAAAATGGCACTCAGATATTATAAAAGTACTATTAAGCAATGGTGTGCAAGTGAATGATCCGGATGGAGATGGTAGGTTGCCGACACATTATGCTTGTGAACATGGAGATTTACACATACTAGAATTATTGGTAACGAATGGAGCGAAAGTGAATGTTCCGGATGGAGATGGACAACTGCCGATACATTATGTTTGTAAACACGGTACATTAAACCAGGTAGAATTACTGGTAACGAACGGAGCGAAATTTGATGTTCCGGACGGAGGTGGTCAGCTACCGATGCACTATGCGTACAGAAATAATCTGTGGGGATGTAATATAATTTTATTTTTGTGTAAAAAAGGTGCGAAAGTGGATGTTCCGGATGGAGATGGACAACTGCCGATACATTATGCTTGTAAACACGGAACATTAAACCTGGTAGAATTACTGGTAACGAACGGAGCGAAATTTGATGTTCCGGACAGAGGTGGTCAGCTACCGATGCACTATGCGTTCAGAAATGATTGGTGGGGATGTGATATAATTTTATTTTTGAGTAAAAAAGGTGCGAAAGTGGATGTTCCGGATCGAGATGGACAACTGCCGATACATTATGCTTGTAAACACGGAACATTAAACCTGGCAGAATTACTGGTAACGAACGGAGCGAAATTTGATGTTCCGGACAGAGGTGGTCAGCTACCGATGCACTATGCGTGCAGAAATGGTGGGTGGGGACGTGATATAATTTTATTTTTGTGTAAAAAAGGTGCGAAAGTGGATGTTCCAGATGGATATGGACAACTGCCGATACATTATGCTTGTGAACACGGAACATTAAACCTGGTAGAATTACTGGTAACGAACGGAGCGAAATTTGATGTTCCGGACAGAGGTGGTCAGCTACCGATGCACTATGCGTGCAGAAATGTTGTGTGGGGAAGTGATATAATTTTATTTTTGCTAAAAAAAGATGCGAAAGTGAATGTTGCGGACGGAGATGGACAACTGCCGATACATTATGCTTTTGAACACGGAACATTAAACATGGTAGAATTGCTGGTAATGAACGGAGCGAAATTTGATGTTCCGGACGGAGGTGGTCAGCAACCGATGCACTATGCGTGCAGAAATGAGTGGTGGGGATGTGATATAGTTTCATTTTTGCTAGAAAAAGGTGCGAGAGTGGATGTTCCGGATGGAGATGGACAACTGCCGATACATTATGCTTGTGAACACAGAACATTAAAACTGGTAGAATTACTGGTAACGAACGGAGCGAAATTTGATGTTCCGGACAAAGGTGGTCAGCTACCGATGCACTATGCGTGCAGAAATGATCTGTGGGGATGTGATATAATTTTATTTTTGTGTAAAAAAGGTGCGAAAGTGGATGTTCCGGATGGAGATGGACAACTGCCGATACATTATGCTTGTGAACACAGAACATTAAAACTGATAGAATTACTGGTAACGAACGGAGCGAAATTTGATGTTCCGGACAAAGGTGGTCAGCTACCGATGCACTATGCGTACAGAAATGATCGGTGGGGATGTGATATAATTTTATTTTTGTGTAAAAAAGGTGCGAAAGTGAATGTTCCGAATGGAGATGGACAACTGCCGATACATTATGTTTGTAAACACGGTACATTAAACCAGGTAGAATTACTGGTAACGAACGGAGCGAAATTTGATGTTCCGGACGGAGGTGGTCAGCTACCGATGCACTATGCGTACAGAAATAATCTGTGGGGATGTGATATAATTTTATTTTTGTGTAAAAAAGGTGCGAAAGTGGATGTTCCGGATGGAGATGGACTGCTGCCGATACATTATGCTTGTGAACACAGAACATTAAAACTGGTAGAATTACTGGTAACGAACGGAGCGAAATTTGATGTTCCGGACAAAGGTGGTCAGCTACCGATGCACTATGCGTGCAGAAATGATCTGTGGGGATGTGATATAATTTTATTTTTGTGTAAAAAAGGTGCGAAAGTGGATGTTCCGGATGGAGATGGACAACTGCCGATACATTATGCTTGTGAACACAGAACATTAAAACTGGTAGAATTACTGGTAACGAACGGAGCGAAATTTGATGTTCCGGACAAAGGTGGTCAGCTACCGATGCACTATGCGTACAGAAATGATCGATGGGGATGTGATATAATTTTATTTTTGTGTAAAAACGGTGCGAAAGTGAATGTTCCGAATGGAGATGGACAACTGCCGATACATTATGTTTGTAAACACGGTACATTAAACCAGGTAGAATTACTGGTAACGAACGGAGCGAAATTTGATGTTCCGGACGGAGGTGGTCAGCTACCGATGCACTATGCGTTCAGAAATAATCTGTGGGGATGTGATATAATTTTATTTTTGTGTAAAAAAGGTGCGAAAGTGGATGTTCCGGATGGAGATGGACAACTGCCGATACATTATGCTTGTGAACACGGAACATTAAACCTGGTAGAATTACTGGTAACGAACGGAGCGAAATTTGATGTTCCGGACAGAGGTGGTCAGCTGCCGATGCACTATGCGTTCAGAAATGATCGGTGGGGATGTGATATACTTTTATTTTTGTGTAAAAAAGGTGCGAAAGTGGATGTTCCGGATGGAGATGGACAACTGCCGATACATTATGTTTGTAAACACGGTACATTTAACCTGGTAGAATTACTGGTAACGAACGGAGCGAAATTTGATGTTCCGGACGGAGGTGGTCAGCTACCGATGCACTATGCGTACAGAAATGATCGGTGGGGATGTGATATAATTTTATTTTTGTGTAAAAAAGGTGCGAAAGTGAATGTTCCGAATGGAGATGGACAACTGCCGATACATTATGTTTGTAAACACGGTACATTAAACCAGGTAGAATTACTGGTAACGAACGGAGCGAAATTTGATGTTCCGGACGGAGGTGGTCAGCTACCGATGCACTATGCGTACAGAAATAATCTGTGGGGATGTAATATAATTTTATTTTTGTGTAAAAAAGGTGCGAAAGTGGATGTTCCGGATGGAGATGGACAACTGCCGATACATTATGCTTGTGAACACAGAACATTAAAACTGATAGAATTACTGGTAACGAACGGAGCGAAATTTGATGTTCCGGACAAAGGTGGTCAGCTACCGATGCACTATGCGTACAGAAATGATCGGTGGGGATGTGATATAATTTTATTTTTGCTAAAAAAAGATGCGAAAGTGAATGTTGCGGACGGAGATGGACAACTGCCGATACATTATGCTTTTGAACACGGAACATTAAACATGGTAGAATTGCTGGTAATGAACGGAGCGAAATTTGATGTTCCGGACGGAGGTGGTCAGCAACCGATGCACTATGCGTGCAGAAATGAGTGGTGGGGATGTGATATAGTTTCATTTTTGCTAGAAAAAGGTGCGAGAGTGGATGTTCCGGATGGAGATGGACAACTGCCGATACATTATGCTTGTGAACACAGAACATTAAAACTGGTAGAATTACTGGTAACGAACGGAGCGAAATTTGATGTTCCGGACAAAGGTGGTCAGCTACCGATGCACTATGCGTGCAGAAATGATCTGTGGGGATGTGATATAATTTTATTTTTGTGTAAAAAAGGTGCGAAAGTGGATGTTCCGGATGGAGATGGACAACTGCCGATACATTATGCTTGTGAACACAGAACATTAAAACTGGTAGAATTACTGGTAACGAACGGAGCGAAATTTGATGTTCCGGACAAAGGTGGTCAGCTACCGATGCACTATGCGTACAGAAATGATCGATGGGGATGTGATATAATTTTATTTTTGTGTAAAAACGGTGCGAAAGTGAATGTTCCGAATGGAGATGGACAACTGCCGATACATTATGTTTGTAAACACGGTACATTAAACCAGGTAGAATTACTGGTAACGAACGGAGCGAAATTTGATGTTCCGGACGGAGGTGGTCAGCTACCGATGCACTATGCGTTCAGAAATAATCTGTGGGGATGTGATATAATTTTATTTTTGTGTAAAAAAGGTGCGAAAGTGGATGTTCCGGATGGAGATGGACAACTGCCGATACATTATGCTTGTGAACACGGAACATTAAACCTGGTAGAATTACTGGTAACGAACGGAGCGAAATTTGATGTTCCGGACAGAGGTGGTCAGCTGCCGATGCACTATGCGTTCAGAAATGATCGGTGGGGATGTGATATACTTTTATTTTTGTGTAAAAAAGGTGCGAAAGTGGATGTTCCGGATGGAGATGGACAACTGCCGATACATTATGTTTGTAAACACGGTACATTTAACCTGGTAGAATTACTGGTAACGAACGGAGCGAAATTTGATGTTCCGGACGGAGGTGGTCAGCTACCGATGCACTATGCGTACAGAAATGATCGGTGGGGATGTGATATAATTTTATTTTTGTGTAAAAAAGGTGCGAAAGTGAATGTTCCGAATGGAGATGGACAACTGCCGATACATTATGTTTGTAAACACGGTACATTAAACCAGGTAGAATTACTGGTAACGAACGGAGCGAAATTTGATGTTCCGGACGGAGGTGGTCAGCTACCGATGCACTATGCGTACAGAAATAATCTGTGGGGATGTAATATAATTTTATTTTTGTGTAAAAAAGGTGCGAAAGTGGATGTTCCGGATGGAGATGGACAACTGCCGATACATTATGCTTGTAAACACGGAACATTAAACCTGGCAGAATTACTGGTAACGAACGGAGCGAAATTTGATGTTCCGGACAGAGGTGGTCAGCTACCGATGCACTATGCGTTCAGAAATGATTGGTGGGGATGTGATATAATTTTATTTTTGAGTAAAAAAGGTGCGAAAGTGGATGTTCCGGATCGAGATGGACAACTGCCGATACATTATGCTTGTAAACACGGAACATTAAACCTGGCAGAATTACTGGTAACGAACGGAGCGAAATTTGATATTCCGGACAGAGGTGGTCAGCTACCGATGCACTATGCGTGCAGAAATAAATGGTGGGGATATGATATAGTTTCATTTTTGCTAGAAAAAGGTGCGAAAGTGGATGTTCCGGATGGAGATGGACAACTGCCGATACATTATGCTTGTAAACACGAAACATTAAACCTGGCAGAATTACTGGTAACGAACGGAGCGAAATTTGATGTTCCGGACATAGGTGGTCAGCTACCGATGCACTATGCGTGCAGAAATGGTGGGTGGGGACGTGATATAATTTTATTTTTGTGTAAAAAAGGTGCGAAAGTGGATGTTCCAGATGGATATGGACAACTGCCGATACATTATGCTTGTGAACACGGAACATTAAACCTGGTAGAATTACTGGTAACGAACGGAGCGAAATTTGATGTTCCGGACAGAGGTGGTCAGCTACCGATGCACTATGCGTGCAGAAATGTTGTGTGGGGAAGTGATATAATTTTATTTTTGCTAAAAAAAGATGCGAAAGTGAATGTTGCGGACGGAGATGGACAACTGCCGATACATTATGCTTGTAAACACGGATATTTAAGCATGGTAGAATTACTGGTAACGAACGGAGCGAAATTTGATGTTCCGGACAGAGGTGGTCAGCTACCGATGCACTATGCGTTCAGAAATGATCGGTGGGGATGTGATATAATTTTATTTTTGCTAGAAAAAGGTGCGAAAGTGGATGTTCCGGATGGAGATGGACAACTGCCGATACATTATGCTTGTGAACACGGAACATTAAACCTGATAGAATTACTGGTAACGAACGGAGCGAAGTTTGATGTTCCGGACAGAGGTGGTCAGCTACCGACGCACTATGCGTGCAGAAATTACGACGAGGGATATGATATAATTTTATTTTTGCTAGAAAAAGGTGCAAAAGTGAATGTTCCGGATGGAGATGGACGGCTGCCGATACACCACGCCTGTGAACACGGAACTTTAAGAACATTGAAATTATTAGTATCGAATGGTGCGAAAGTGAATATTCTGGATCACAGTGGCAAACTGCCGATCGACTACGCGCAGAAAAACTTTGACAATAACGTGAGAAATTTTTTGTTAAAAAAACATTAAATCTAAAATCCTCGAAACAGTTGCCGATAAAGGAGTTCTAATAAAATTTTTTGATGGATATCGTGTAGTACTTTTGTTACGTAGGTATATGCATATGCGTGATTCTATTTCATTTGGCATGTCCATCCAGCCAGTTACTACTACTTAGTAATCGTTTTCATTTAAATACGACGCAACCTAACGATGAAGTCCTTTCTCCTTACTAGTTTCACTTCCATGCACACGCAAATAAGCAATAAAACTTTTTGGCCATAACACACTAGTTACAAAATTTTCTTCTTTTTATGTCCGATGATCGAAACAGATAGCTCCGAAATATTTTAGTTTCTGTGACATTTTTAATTAACATGTATTAGGACCAAATTACTTATAAATAAATCAAAATCTATTAAAGGCAACAATGTTATTATATGCGAAAAATTTGCCAAACTGCCATTTTCATAGATTTAAAATGACGCGATTCCTTTGAAAGGACATTTTGGAGATCATAAAACACAGCTTAGAAAATTAGTTTACTTGCTAAGGCAATTTAAAAATATTAAATTTTAAGCCATTGAATTTATTGTTTTTAAGATGTATCACGGTTATTATAGTGCATCGTAATAAAGAACCTTAACCAATCAAGTAAAATGAACATATAGATCAAGATTAAATTTGTCATTAATTTATTAGGTGTGAATATGCAGAAAATATATATAGATATAGAAATCATTAACGTTCAAATCCCATTCAAAAATTTATAGAAGAATGACCTGATATTTCCGTGTTTTGCGACATAGTTATGTAGGCTCTAATTATTTTTAGACCGTTAAATAATAATAACAAATTAATATTTTAAATATAAACGTACAAAATTTGTCAAAGATTGAAATTTTCACCGTTTTCTGTAAGTTGATATATATACCGATCGGTTTGAAGAATTCTTAAATTTTTAACTCTCTGGAAATAGTCTGTGATATCTGTCATAAATGTTATATATTTTAGTATAATTGGAGTCCATCCATGTTAACACGGCTAAGTTTATTTATTTATGTATTATATATTTACATTAAAATTATCGGGTGTCTGATTGAACCCTGGTTAATGAGCTGCTTCCCACTTTATTGTTTTTTCCGTATGTCGTATAGTGTTTGTCATTGTGTTGGAGACAGTTGTCATTTCGCTGTCAGAGTTAATTAAAAAATTATTAATTCACAAAAGTCGGTGTGACAACGAATGACAGCTGCTAACATGACAGTCTTGACCAAGTTTTCATTTAGATACCCGATATTTTATGGCAAATAGTTAAGGTGTAGCGTAAAATGTACTGTCACGCCCTGTGACCATACAGAGTGTTTTGTAATAAAACCATGTATTTGTTACATTAAAATATACCAACTAAACTGTGATAATAAATGCAATTCATATTGATGTGGGCCATTATTACACCAATGACACGATTCTTCAAGGAATCCACAAAACAGCGACCATTGGACGTGGTAAGTAGTGGACATTTATATTTGGGATATTTAAAGTTATACCTTTCTTAATCATATAGTATGTACCTCCCAATTCTTCTTTTCCAATGTATTTTTATTAAATAACTATTTTTGCTAATATTTATCCTTTACAGGCAAAGATGCTGTTTTATATGCGTTACGGATGTAATGAAGACAAAAGAACCGTATTTGTACAAATTCGTGTAATTTAATTTTTAGTTTAAATTTATTATAACTTTAAGAAAACAAATACTGCGTGCACACTTAGTATCCATGTTTTCGACAGTGAGCTTAAAAAATTAGTAAGTATTAAATAAATAATCAGACGAGAAAGAGAAAGCTCCCGACATAGCAACTAGTCTACAGTCATTCAGAGTCGACTGCGTCGATAAGAGCTTTAAACCTTTAATGCATTATGGTTCGGTTCCAAAATTGCTGTTATATTAGAATTCGTAAACATTTATTAAGTATCATCTTCAAAATAGTACAACAAACAACAATAATATATAAATATAAATATAAATCATTTCTTCTAGACTACACCTTATAACAGTAACTTTTTCTAGAATAAATACATTAAGAAAAAATCCAACATCAAAATCTTCAAAAACGCCTAAATGAGCAAATCAACGAACACAGGGAAGTACATCTAAAACACTTTGGCAACATTTATATAGAGGTCGTGTTCTATATTCTTAAATCTTATACATTGGTGCTTTTTGACACAGTTGGAAGATAATATTGAGGTCAATTCGTGTTACACACTAGTTTTTTTTTTTTTTGTTCTCAGGGTACAAAAATGAATACAAATTGACTACGAATATTCCTGTCATCAGTCTTGAGGTGATATTAAACCAAATAAGTGATATTATATACCCTGCCTTTATGAATAGAATACTTATTGCCTTACTCAGTTTGTTTCAGACTTATCTACTGTTACATATAAAGGTTTGTACAGTACAATAGGCTCCCTAATGTGGTGTTCATTTCCATCGTAGACTTGTCCAAGGAGGAATTCTGGTCCGATGTATTGACCGCCTTCGACATGGGAACACGCATGTTCTGCAAAGGACCGTAAATCAACAATAAATTAGCCAAAAACCTACCGATTTCAGATGAATTTTCATAATTTTAAAATGAAACTTCTTGATTTTTTAACACGAAAACTATTCAAATATAATATAACCAAACTCTACTGATTCTAACAATGTAACTTTTGCTATACCAGCGTTTTTAAATTTCTAGCAAAAAAATCTTTCTTTGTGATATGATATAATAATTTTGAGAAAAATCATCAAGATAATGACTGGAATTTTGGAAGATAAAGACGAAAACAAAGTTTTGTACCCTCAGAAGTCCTGGACGAAAATTTGGAAGCTATCAATTAAATGGTGCCAGCAAAATCCAAGCATTCGTTTGAAAAAGAATATACGAATTTTTGTGAATGGAGGAAGCGAAATCATGCGAAAGGTGTAGACGAAAGAATAATTTTGGCTTATATTTCGGAATGGTCTAAAAATGCAAAATCTACGTCAGGATGGTAGTATTATTCCCAACTGAAGAAAATATTATCTGTGAATGAAAATATTGATATAAGCACGTTTGTGACATCGCAATGATTATTATTTATGAGGTTTTAAACTATTCATTGTTATAGATTTCATCAAGTATCGGCTTTCCTAAAACAACAGTCTGTAAGGCACAGACCAAAGAAATCCAAGGTGTTCGCGCTAGAAGAAATGGAAATGTTCTTAGATAATCCTTCTAATGGTGAATATTTAATACAGAAAGTAATTTTTATCGTAGAATTGGTGAATTGGTGGCCGGAGAATACACAGCTCATAGTTTTAGGCGTTCGAGTGCAACTCTACCAGCAGACTCTCTGGCAGCTTCAACAGTTGTAAAGTGACAGGTGACACGGTAGCTGGCGTTCGAATAGTGTTGTGGAAGAATACATAAAGGATTCTCTGAACATGAAATCGAAATTTTGAGAAGAATCATCAAGCAATCATCAAACCTTAATAATAGATCTGTCTTGAATTGTAACTTTTATATTTCAGACTACAAAGACATATAGTAATTCACTGTTAATATTTCTGTGAAAGAAATAAAAATCTGTTCTTGTTTGAATTTTTTTAATTCACTAAACGCTTTGATTTCACTAGTGAATCATGAACTCCTTATGAAGGTTACTGTGGAGTTAATAATAACTATTTAACGAATAAATTTGTTAATAAAGGCGATTAATAATTGAGTTAGTTACAATACTTTTCCGGCAATCGTAATGTTATGAAATTACTGAAAATTCAAAATATGAGTTATGCAACCAAACATACAAGTGAATTTTTTTATTAATTAACATTATTAGTTCACTAAATTTAGATATGTCCAAATCATGATTGATGCTTAAAGTGGACCGAAGTATACAATACTTTTTTTACTTTTAGGGAATTTCGGCGACAGTTCAGGAGGGACTGGAGGTATATCTGGTTGCCTAAAATCATGCATTAATAAGCCGCTTGCTCTCTTGCTTTTCGAATAAGAAAAGCTTTGATATGTTAAACACACCAAGCTCTCCTACAACTCTCTTTTCGAGTTCTCTTCCTGTATCAATTAGTTCGATTTGGGTTTTCGTAAAGTGAAATTCAAAATTGCAAAAGTGTTTTAAAAATTATTTATCATCTGGTCATTTTAAAACGAAATTTATCCATTACTGAAAATTTTTATAGTTAAGAAATCGGTAGGTTTTTGTATAATTGCCAAACCCGCCGCGAATTCTCCCATATAAAACGCATTGTCAAGTAAAACCGGAACGGACTTTGGCTTCTCAAAGTCTTGTCCAGCCCCAAGAAAACCGACTTACCGTATCGTATTGTAGGTGAGGTGTTCGTGTTCGGTATCCGGAAAGGTACAGTCGCTATAGTAATCGGGAAATTGACTTGGACAACGTCTACGTCTTTATCACTGTCTAGACTTACCTACAACTCGCAAAAGTTACACAGAAACTAACACCTCCGCCATACGTACTGAAAGCACATAATAGATTTGTACTAATCTACAAATTCCAACAAGTGTTGTAGGCATCGGAGGTAAAACAAGGCTATTGGAACTGTCCCATTTGCTGCGAGAGTGCGGCTTGACGTTGCTCCCTCTGCAAGCAAACGTCACCAAGTCGTCGAAACCCGACTTAGAAATACCTGTATTCGAAGACGAGGTGCTTCAGGTCCTTGCTCACGCCCAGAACTCCTCGGTCGATGAAGAACTCGCAGCACTGTTCCAGCCGGACTCGCAGTTTTACTTCGTCTTCGCTTTGATTGTCGATTGTCGCTTTTAGCTTTACGCTTTCTTTGCAGACGTAGGCCGAGCGTTCGAGAACGCAGCGGAGGCTGACGGTGCCTTTTTTGCAGCACCAGCAGCAGGTACTTTTTCGGTCTTCGTAGACGACTGGTTTCTGGTAAATTGGTGGGGTATTGAGTCTTGGCAATTTGTGGCTGTGGGTCTGGGTTATTGATAAGGGACGAATTTGGAAAGGTTGTCGATGTTTCGAGTTTCATTAAGCCTTCTTCAGTGTTATAATATGAAGGACCGACTTGTGCAGTCTGTGCAAAAATATACTACGTTTTCACGATACCTATAGGTATACAATGGTTACAATTTGATGGTGGAAAAAATTGGTCGAAAAATATTTTCTGTTATAAAATTATAATAAAACCTTGACGTCTTAGTTTTTTTTTGCAACAAGTCTTTTTTTAAGGTCAAAAAAACGACAAAGACAAGTGGGAAAAGTGTGACCAAATAAAACTACAAAAGATCGGCAGAAAACGATACAAAGAAGACAATAAAAAGGGAAACAATAAAAGCGACCAAAAAATTATTTTAAAAAGGCGAGTAAAAAGAAGCCAAAAACATGCAACAAAAGGTGGCTGAAAAAAGAAAAAAGGAACGATGTCAAAATGAGGAGTAAAAAGGAAATAAAAAAAAACGACCAAAAAAGTGAGTAAAAAACGACAAAATAAAACAAAAAACAAAGACCAAAAAAGGCGACAAAAAAGGCCAGACAAACGGCGTCAAAAAAGGGATAGAAAGATGTTTAAAAGAGGCAAAAAAAGACAACTTAAAGAGCGACAACAAAGAGAAAAACACGACAAAACAGGTCCATAAAACAGTTAAGAAAAAAAAAATGGCAGTAAAAAAAGGACAAAAAAAAACATCAAAAAAAGATGATAAAAAAAGAAAACAAAAACATTAAATAAACGATGTCAAAAAGAAGATTAAAAGTGTCCAAAAAAGCGACAAAAAGAAAAAAACAAACTTTATAAAAAAAGTCGACTAAAGAAGGCGACCATAGAAGGCGTAAACAAATTTTAAAAAATGCGAAAAGAAAGGTGAATAAAAAGTTGAAAGAAAAGCCATTGAAAACGATCAAAACAAAAACAAGGGCGAAAAAAGTGAAGAAGGCGCCTAAAAAATAGAAAAAATGACGAAAAAAATGGCCACCAAAAAAAAGGCGAGTATAAAGAGGCCAAAAAAGACGACAAAAAAGATGGCAAAAACCGACAAAAACGCCACAAAAAAGCAAAGAACGACAAAAAAAAGTGTTAAAAAATCGATTAAAGGGCCACAAAAAAATCGAAAAAAAAAACATTAATACAAATATGAAAAAAGGATACTCAAAAAAATTACCAAAAAAAGAGACAAAATCAACGCCCAAAGTAGTGATCAAAAAGAGACAAAAACAATTCCACAAAAAAGCGAAAAAATGGCTAGTGACAATGGAGGGCGTAAAAAATCTTTAAAAAAGACGAAAAGGAAAGGCAATAAAAAATTAAAAAATAATAATAAAACAGGGAACGAAAACGGGGCAAAAAAGCGATCAAAAAGTAACAAAAAGCTACAATAAAAGTCAAAGAAAAAAGGCGAAAAAAGTCAACACGAAAAGATAAAAAAGTGCCATCAAAAAAAAGATCAAAGATTAAAGACTACAATCAAACGTGACAAAAAAGAGACAAAATAAACGACCAAAAAAAGTGACAAAAAAAGACAAATAAAACATATTCTCAAAAAAGGGAAAAACCGCCTAAAAAAAGGCTACAAAAAAAAAACAGAAAAAACGACCTAAAAGAAAGACCACAATAAATGGTCACAGCAAAAGACAAGTAAAAAGAAGGTAAAAAACACGACTAAAAGGGGTGACAAAAAAGTTAATAAAAAAGTATAAAAAGCGGTAAAAACTCAACACAAAAGCGTCTAAAAATCGACAAAACAAAGGTGACAATAAAGGACGTAAAAAATAAAAAAAAGAAAAGGAAAATTCAGAATAAACACTTGAAAAGAAAGCATAAAAAGGAAGTAAAAGAGGAAACAAAAGACACCACACAAAAAGTACTAAAAAGCCCAAAAAAGGTTAACAAAAAAGGCGAAAAAAAGGCACCATGAACACAGAAAAAAGCTAATAAAAGGAGCCACCAAAATAAAAAAAAGCGACGAAAAAAGGCGACAAAAAATGGACACTGAAAAGGCGAGTAAAAACAGGCCAAAAGAAGATGACAAAATCAACGAGCAAAAAAGTGATAAAAGTGACAAAAATAAACCCACGAAAAAGTGAAAAAAACAGTCCCAAAAAATGGCAAAAAGGTACCAAAAAAGCGTCAAAAAAACGACACATAAAACTGAAAAAAGCTACTAGAAAACGACAAAACATAAAAATCGACAAAAAAGACACAGAAGAGGTGACAAAAGCCCAAAAAACATGATAAAAATACGTGGCAAAGAAGGGACAAAAAAGCGAAAAAACTGCGTCAAAGAATGGGATAAAAAGGGATTTAAAGAATGGAAAAAAAGCGAGAAAACACGACAAAAAAGGCGTATAAGATCGCGAAACTTACACGACTTCTAAAATACATAAAAAACTTCGCAACGATGAGGCCACTATTTTCCGAGATTATCTGTTTAATAAGATAAATGGAAACGGGGGATCTATTTTTGTATATTCTAGGGGTCATGAAACGTCGAGAAAACCCACCTAAATTAAATATATCTGACTTCTAAAAAAAAAATTTATGTTTGGTGTCTGAAACAATTTTTGAGGCTATTTGGAGCTGCTTCGTTTAATTTTTCGTCAAAACTTGAAATAACTTTTGCAGACATTAATTCTCGCTTCTGACCTAAGAAAGAGACAAACCAAGTATGTTTCAAAAAATAAATGTTTGTTAGTTTTATTTTAAAATTTAGTAAATTACAGTATAATTGCAACAAAATTCGCCCCTCGTTCTGAAGAAGGTTTCGCCAAAGTCGAAACATCGCCACATCTCGCGTAATTACCACGCCTAAACCCAGATTTTTAAACAAAATTATTACCCTCTTACATTTACATTATGCAAAGATCAGAGGTTATTTTAAACAAATCAATATTCCCTAAAACCGACGAACAAACACCCCAAAGGTCAAACGTCACCAAAAAAATTTGATTGAATCTTTGATCTTACCAAGTACTGCTCATCCATGCAGTCGATGTGGGGTCCAATCACAGTAAAATATTTCATCCCTTGCGGCGGACTCGCATACGGGATGTCAATAGTGACCTTAAAGTAGTACCTTATGCAGCACGGTTTACTCTCGAAGGAACACGGAAGACTCGACTCTGGAAGGGAGAACCGGAAAGGAAACCTGTGCACTCCTCTGGGCAAAATCGGGATCGTGGTCTCTAGGTTCTTCTCGCCCCAAATCACCTGCCTCTCGTCGATGAAGTACTGGTCGTCTTTCACCTAAAACCCACTTTCCAAGACGGAAAAGTTTCGAAAATCTTCAACATTTTACCGTTCTTCGGTCCCCCGACAACAGCACCTTCCACTCCGCATGGGCTTTTCCGCGCAGGAGGACCCTGATGGCTTAAAGAAAACTGGATTAGGGTTGCTTCGAGTCGGTGTTTGTGGTATACTTCGCAGCTTGAAGTTCTCCACAGTGTCGAGGATGACGAGACCGTTGATGTTTTCGCCGGCATAGTAGTACTCCTTGTCTAGTTTTATGTCGAATTCGCGGATATAATCCATTACGACATTCTGGAGTTGACTTGGCGAGAAAATATGTACCCTGTTTTCAACACAACACTCGACTTTCAATCAGCTGTTTTTCGCGAAAATCAATACGGGAGAGCATGCTCGATGGGAGTTCGGAAAGTCAAGTTCGGAGAGAATTTGCGAAGCGTGATTTTTGAACACCGACGCTGAGTGGGCGGATCGGGTTGGTTTCGACAGGGCCGGAGTGGCTCGAAATTACTGCTCAAAATAGGACGGCTTAAAAGTTTCGAAGATAGATGAATGGATAAGTTTAAAAACAATGCATGCCTTCTTTAACAAAAGGACAGTTGGGACCCCCGACAAGGTTTCACATTCTTAGAAAAAACATTGAGCGCCCCCGAGAAGGTTACACATTTTTAAAAAAGACAGTTGGGACCCCTGAGAAGGTTTCACATACTTAGAAAACACATTTGGCGCCCCGAGAAGGTTTTATATTAAAAAAAAAGAGTTGGGACCCCGAGGAAGATTTCAAATAAAAAAAAAGACATTTAGGGCTCCCGAGAAGGTTTTGCATTTTAAAAAAACACAATTGGAATCCCCGAGAAGGTCTCACTAAAAGCCAACTTTGAACCCGAACGCGCGATGTCCTTAAGGGATGCCTTACGCTAATGGTAAACTGTTATTATGCTGTGCATTATGTTTTTGCAAAAATTTGGACGGCTAGAAAAAAACTCAAAGCAGATTCATACACCAAACTTATAGGATTATATTGTTGTATAACAGTTAAATCAAATAAACATAGAATTCTTTGAAATGTCGTCATCAAAATTTTAGCTCATTTCACCATCTACATGACATTTGTAACATACATACAAAATTTGACAACAATCGATCGAGCAGTTTCGGAGACGGAAACTGGAGACTACTTTTTTTCGTACTCTAGAGGTCATGAAACGTCGAGAAATAATAAAAGTGGCGATTCATCCGATGGACTCGATTATTATACTTCCTTAGCTTACGCTCGGGAAGTAAAAATACAAAAATAAAATAATGTTGAAATTTTTGGACTTGTACTGTTTTTAAACTCATCGATTCAGCTCGTTTTCAACTTGTAATGAAGAGACTCTTTGCTCGTGACTGTAGAAAATTGAAACACCGGATTTTACGTGTACCGTATACAGAGTGAATCACTAAACACGCGTTGTGCGGCACCGAAAGTAGTATATGGTTATTACTTTCAACAACATAACATTTTTGACATTTGGATGTGACGTTATTCCATTTTCTTTAAATTTTTTAGCAATACAGGAAGGAATCTGTATTACTGATATTACATTTTTAAGAAACTAAATCTTAGTAGGTATATCTACAAAGCATTCATTAAAAAACAACTAAAATATCAATATTTCAGTTGATTCAAATAAAGCACCCTATATCTTTTCCATTCTCTTTCTCTTTTGCTGAGCACTTTCGTTATCTAAAATTGACAATTTTTGTAATGTTTCAAATTTCTAAAAGAGATACCAATATATTAAGCAAAAGAGAATAAAAAACAGAGACGATCTAGTAATAAAATGCATTTGCAAGGTATAATAACGTTATATTACCAACATCGGATACAAGGCTTCGTAAGAGTCCGAACGGAAATCGTAAAGTAAAGTTTTATAAATTTTTTAAAGAGCTAGATTTGTCGGATTATACTTCAAGGGCGAGGGAAGTTCTGTCGAAATAGCCTTCGATCAATTTTTTGCAATACAAGGAAGGGTTTCAAAAAAACACAGTTATATTTTACCGTTTTATTATTACATTTTTTAGGGAAACTGAATCTTAGTATAATCTAGGTACAGAGCATTCATTAAAACACTACTAATATTCTCATATATGGATATTTCCGTTTATTCAAATAAAACACCCTATATTTTATTACTGTATCTTACTGTGTCTTACTATGTTTCTATTCTTTTTCGCTTTTGTTAAGTATTTTCGTTATTTAACTTTTCTAAAATGGGATTAAAAAACAGGGACGGTCTAGTAATAAACTTGGAACTTATAATAATTTAGGCTTTTTAATAAACACCATTTATTAATAATCTTGATTGTGGTCACCTTGACTGGATTGTTCAATTAAATAAATGATGAGGAACACAAAAGCTTTTTCTCTCTAGTTATTTTTTGAACATTTTAATTTATTGTACTGTACTTTTTTGGGTCGCTTTTTTCCGTTTTTGTGTACCCTTTCTTTCGGCGCGTTTTTAGTCTTTTTTGATATTTGTGTAGCTGTTTTTTTTTTTGTTTTTAATTGTCGATTATTATTTTTCGTCGTTATTTGTTGTATCATTTTTTGGTTATTTTTGTGGCGTTTTTGTCGCTTTCTATTTCCTTTTATGTGGCTGTTTTTCTGTCTTCTTTTATTGTCGCCTTTTTTTTATTTTGACGGCATCTTTCGTGGCCTCTTTTTGCTTTTTGGTCGCTTTTTCGTGTGAAGTTTTTGTTTTCTCTTATATTGCCTTTTTATAACTTTTATCAGCTTTTTATTCGTCTTTTTTAAAGATTTTTTATGCTTCTATTGCTGCTTTTTTGCTCGAATTTTTTTGTAGTGTTTATTTTTAGCCTTTGGTCACTTTTAAATACCTTTTTAAAACCAATTTTTGACATCGTTTCTTTCGGCTTTTTTGTCCCCCTTTTTTATTGCATTTTTTCACATTTTATTCCTTATATTTATTGATATTTTTATGTTTTTTCTTAACTTTTTGTTGACCATTTGTTTCGGCTTTTATCGCATTTTTTACGCTTTTTGTAGCTTTCTTTGGTCGCTTTTTTCTGCTTTTTATTGTTCTTTGAATTGTTTGTTTATGCAACCTCTTTTGTCATGTTTTTGTCCTTATTTTACTTGGCTTATGTATGGCCTTTTCTGTCTCATTTTTTGACACCTTTTTTGGTCTCTTTTTGTTTTCTTTTGTTGCCTTTTTTTTTAAATCAGTTTTTGATTGCTTTTATTGTTCCCTTTTTTTATGCCTCTTTTTTGGTTGTTTTTCTGGACACGTTTTTCATTCCAATTTTTATGTCTTTTCCTCAACTTTTTCAGTGACTTTTTATCGCATTTTTTATGTCTTTTTGCGCTATTTTTGGTCGACACTTTTTATAGCGTTTTTTTCGCTTTTTGTCCTTCTTTGAGTCGCTCTTTTTGTCTCCTTTCTCATCCCTTTTTTGACGCCATTTCTCTCGCTCTTTCGGTCACTTTTTTCCCACTTTTGGGTTCACCTTTTACTGACAGCTTGTTTTTTGGTCCTTTTTGTTGCCTTTTTTGTTAGTTTTTCTTGTCATTGCAAAAAAGTTGACCACCTCATCACAAAACGTTGCAATGAAAAACTTACTTGAAATACTAGGTACATACATATAGATACGTTTAACTTGCAGGGGTTATCAGATTATCACAAAAAAAAAAAAAAGTAATACGTAAAAGAATTACCGTAAATAAAAATGTTGCAAAAATAACTGAAGAGAAAAAGCATTTAGTTACTATTTATTAAAATTCAAATTTTGTTTATTTATCTCTCCATAAAACACATATTCTTCGATTTTGACAAATTTGTTGAAATCAAGGAAATCAAACTGTGGAACTGTAAAAATATTTGTTTGCGATTTTTTTTGTCAGGTTGGCAATATATTTAAATTTAATTTTGGCAGACCTGATATCAAATTCAACAATTCAAATTATGAGCACCAATTCAGTAGCTAGCTGTTTTCTGTGTGTTTTCTTTTCATTGGTTTTTAGGCGAGCTGACTGTTAACATTGCATCAATTCAAGGATATTTATACCCAATTTCATTACTTAATTTTGGTGTTATTACTCAAAAACCGCCCACTGAGGGAATCACCCTGTATATTATCTTTCCCAAAAATAGGAATGTTTTTTCTAAATTTACTCACCGTTAAAGAGATGAATATTATTTTCCGTCGTTCTTGCGCTTAAAAAATGGAATTTACTTAATTTCTTTGTTTATCCTGAAACGGTCAACATAACTGCCTCAAACTATTTTAAATTTAAAATTTTTATTGATCCTGGACGAACGCTTGATCAGAAAAATATTTATAAAACGAAGGCATTTTTGTTGAGGGTAATTCATAACGTCCAGTTTAGCGTTTTCTCGACAGTTTATAGCTCCTATATTATGATAAGTAGGGTCTCCGTTTTCGTCTGTCATATTTGTATTAAACAGTTTTATAAAATGGCAAACTGGTAGGTAACAAAACTGTGCGGAATTTGGCCTTTTCGTAATTGTTTTATTTAACGCAGCAAGCGTTGCATTCCTCCACGGCTACTTGACCTCATAAAGAAACGACACTGAGCCCGTTGACGTCATTCTGATCTCACTTCTCGTCTATGCTGATTTTTTATGGGCTTTTACAGATACATACTTGTGACTTTGATCTTGTGAGAATGTTTTACTTGTTGCATACTCATGTGTCATGTGAAAACGATGTTTTTTTTTTTTTGCAGAAACGAATGAAAGGTCGTTTTTTCGACAGTCATACCAATAAATAATTCTTCGAATCGGATTTATTAGTCTTTAAATCACGCAAAAGTTGTAAAATCTCGTGTTTCTGGTGAAATTTACGGGATGAATGGACACCAAAATTTATGTAGTCGGATGGTGTGATAAAATTATGGCCCATTAAAGATTGAACGTCCAAACCGAAATTTATATAGAAATGTTAGTAAAATCTGTAAGAATTTACGCATCCTATAACAGCTTATACGCCATACTTTACATTCACAATGACGAATGAGTCAAGTAGTAAATCATCACACAAATATTTGAAAACTTCAAGGCAGTACAAAGTAATGTTTCATTGTTGATTAATGATTAGTGGTGCTAAGTAATCCTCAGCAGAATCCCTTTGAATTCTGATCTGGCATGAAAAATGACAAAAAGAGGAGTTAGGGAGAAAAGGTGGTCAAAATAAAAGAATAAGCCATTCGTTAATAATTTACATTTACACGCTAGACGAGACACAAGTTTGAATTGGGCGCCATTTGTTGCCTTAAACGCAACCAGCAATTCTTCTTTAAATCTACCTGACGCGCTGGGATACCGGACGTGAGTCATAAAAACATTGTAAGCCGATAATGAAGGATAATGATAATAATTTATGACAGGCGGCCCACAACATACCTTCAGCACAGAATAATCATTTCTCGTATTCTTTTGACATATTATTCAAACACAATTTAGACACTATAGAGCAAACAAGGCTTATCAAGCCCGTCTATTACTTTATTCGCCTAAATGTATTATTAATACCGTTTTCAAATTACACCAAAATTGAAAAATCGAAAACTTAATAATTGAAAAATTGAAACATTTTAAATGAAAAAATCGGTAAACCGAAAAATTGAAAAATCTATAAATCGAGAAATTGAACAATCTAAAAATTAAACTATTTAAAAATCGAAGAATTGGAAAACCAAAAAATCTAAACCGAGAACTTGAAAAATCGAATAATCGAGAAATCAAAACATCAAGGAAAACAAAAAAATTAACGGAAAATCTAGAACTTAAAATTTGAAAAATTAAAATACCTATCGAAAAATTGAAAAGCCGAGAAATCGAAACATCAAAAAATGGAAAAATTGAAGAATCGAAACATTGCAAAATCTCAGAACTGAAATACTGAAAAAATGAAAAATGGAAGGAAAATTCAAAAATGGAAAAAGTGAAAAAATTCAAAACTGAAACATTGAAAAATCCAGAAATCGAAAAATTTAACAATCAAGAAATAGAGAAATGGGAAAATCAACAAATCAGTTAATCGAAAAATTGAAAAATCGAAAAATTTAGAAACGTCAAAAATTGAAAACTGAAAAATTAAAAAAATTAAAAATCGTAAAACTGAAATATCGTAAAGTTAATAAATTGAAAAACTGAAAATTTTTGAAAAAAAAAAATCGTATCAAAAACTAAAAATTCAAAAAATCGAGAAATTGAACAATCAAAAAATCAAAACATTGAAATCCCAGTAAGTTGATAAATAGGAAAATTTAAAAAACAAAAATTTTAAAAATCCAAGGATTGAACAAAAAAAATCTAAAATTTAAAAATTCGACAAATTGAAAAATCATGGAACTGAAAAATCGAAAAGTCGCGATAGTGAGAAATCTAAAAACCTAAAACTTTAAAAACTGAAAAATTAAAATATCGAAAAATTTAAAAACCGAGAAAACACAATATCAAAAATTTGAAAAATTGAAGAAACGAAATATTGCAAAATTCCAAAGCTGAAATATTGAAAAACCTAAAAATGGAAGGAAAATTAAAGAATCGAAACAGTGAAAAAATCCCAAACTGAAACATTGAAAAATTGAGAAATGGAAAAATGGGAAAATCAAAAAAATTGGTCTAAAGAGTTTATACAGAACATTCCTCGCTATCGGAAACGTAAGGACTGCATGCCTATTATGTTTTTTTTTTCACATTAGATTTCAAAGTATTCGGTTTTGTAGTTCCTGATTAAATCAATAAAATAAATTTACGCATTCATTAATTTTTGGGGTCATCCTGTATATGCAAATACAAAAAACATGAATGGAATGAGAAATCACAAGAAGAGACTCATCATATTTTATACAATTTAGATAGGATTTATTCAGCAACATTTTGAGGTGACGTCATCAATTTTTTAGAGGGGATAAGTAAATATATTGTGATTAAAACGGTCCTGGTTTAATAACAAAAAAATATTGTTCGTCTATAAAACAAGCTCGTCTTAGACAAAGTATTCCTAAAAAAAATATGTATATAATATATGGTTTAAATATTTTCTAGAAAATCCTGTCATGGATGTAGAAACATTTGTGACAGCCAAAGAGGTTTTTTTGAAAAAATTATCTTTGAATTTAGACCAAATTGAAATAGACACTAGGCAACAGGCACATTTGGGCAAAAAAAAGAGAAATTAGGGTTACGGCTTCAAATTTTGGACGTATTTACAAACTTAGACCGACTACAACAACAGCTAAAACTGTGGAGTCTCTGTTGTACAGTACATTTAGAGGTAATAGTCATATATACTATGGACAGCAAAGTGAGGAAAAAGCTGTCAAGTGTTTTGAAATAAATAAAAATATAAAAACTGATCGGTGTGGCTTCTTTATTTCAAAACAATTTCCTTACTTGGCTGCTAGTCCAGACAGGGTTCTGGAGGATAGAAGTGCATTAGTCGAAATGAAATGCCCTTCAAAATCGCAAGATTTGTCTTCCGAAGAAGCGGTTAGAAAAAAAATAATTAAATTTTGTACATTGACAGACACAGAGAGAAACTAAAAAAAAAATCATGATTACTGCTTTCTACTTTCAAGTCCAGGAATAAATACTTGTTACGTGTATTTCACAAGTTTATTTTGTTGTATGGACACCCAAAGGAATAATATAGAAAAAATTTATAAAGACAAAGAAATATATGTAAAAAGATGGCAGATAAACTTGGCAGATTTTGCTTTGGCGCATTATTGCCCGAAATAACTGATTCAAGAAGATAGAGGAACCTGCCTTTGCGAGAGATTTTTTTTTAAATTAAATAAAATTTGTTTCTATTTTTTTATGTACTTTAATAATTTATTAGGAGTACATTTTTCATCACCAAGACTTGCGTATTTTTATTATAAATATATTTTGAAAATGATCTCTCGGCAAATGAAAACATATACGAGCACTTTTTTCGAGTAAACAATGAAGGGAGAAGTTACTGGGCGTAGGGCTTTTTTAAAACACCTCCTTTCTGGGATAAGTAGTAGATACACTTAGCTACTTATACGTGTTAAACAAAAGCTGTATTTTATATATTTTTTATTATTATTATAAATATGTTTATTAGTTTTATTAATTTTAATAATATGGTAAAGCAGGCGATAAGGGTTTTACCTGGAAAGTCGCTTCCGTAAATTTTAGTGGCGCTAATACATTAATTTGTGGCATATTTTGATTTTAATAAACAAATTATTATTTAAACAAATTGTACCACTAACAAACATTTAATGACTCCGCGCCCTGTAAAAAGTGATGTTTTATCCATGTGCGAATTTTCAATCGATTCTATGATGGTTATGACTCAAAAAACTTGAAAAGAAAACATACAATGGTGCTTTTTTTACGATATTTCTCAGCCATATTTTTTTAGTTGTTTGAACTGGTCTCTGCGCTCTAGAATATGAAAAAAGCTGCAGTTTGATGTATGATACATCTATATTAATATCATTTTTTCATACAAAAAACCAAAAAAATGTTATACATCCTCTAGCGAGTCCGCTTAATTAGATTTACGTAACAATTCTCGGATCTGACGTCCTAAGTACAAGTGGATTTTTTCTCATCAGAGCACAAAACCATTTAAAATGTTATGTTCTTCGTCCAAGTATGACTGATTGGTTCTTGAACAAGTCTGATCATATTGGTTAGAATAACTTAGCACCAGGGAGACTAGATCAGTGTACCTACCTGTACTTACTTACATTTTAGCGGTGGGTTCAAAGTTATGAACAACGCAGCTATAAAATAGTAACTCCCGATTATTCAATTATCAAGTAAGCGGCATTGACCCATTGCAACGAAACAATACGTTCAAATAATAAAATTTATTCTCGATTAAAAAATCACACAGTTGGTAATAGAGTAGGTCCTAGCTTAAAAAATACATAAAAATAATATATAAAAAAAAAAATCTAAGAATATGACAAGCTCGATACATGATTTTAAGTACGGTAATTATTGCTACAAGTACTATCAATAGAAGGCAATAAAGGCGTTTTTTTCTCGTTTTATTTTATCACAAAGATACATTTAAGCCATGGTAGCGTTCCACTTCTCCTTGTGCTGACCGAGGCCGAAGCCCGTGTCGTAATTACCTTTGGAAATAAAAAGGCGCTTAAAATGAGGCATGCAGTATAGCAAACCTTGGTTGTACGAATATGAGTCCATCCTGTGAAAGCAAGACAAAGTCATATTTTTTTTAAACGGCGTGCGACAAAAGCGCCATCTAGTGTAAATCGCGCTTTTGCCGCACGTTGCATTTTCCCCACGAAGCGACAGTTTGCACCTCCACCATTTTGCGCTCGAATCAGCGATACCAACGCAACGACTTTGAAACGGTTCAACTTATAGGATCTGCGTCCAGGTGACGCTCCGATCGACTTACCTCAACACGCAATTGCACTCCATGCATTTGAAACAATTTTTGTGGTAGATGTGATTATGTACTGATATTTTTTCTAAAGGGTATACCCTGGCGTTACAGCTTTCGCAGGTTTCTGTTACGTTCGGTAGTTCCTTCGTGGAAAAAATAAAATTAAACGAAAAAAAAAAACAAAATAAAAATGAATTGTCTTTTTTCTAGGTTCGAGTAAGACACTGGTCACATGTAAGTTTATTTATTTCACTCAGAAAATAACATGATAATTGGCACAATTATATAATTCGTACTTGTAAAAGAGAATAAAACAGACATTAAATCGAGCGAGAACGTATAAATGGAAGAATTCAATGTCTATTTTATACAAATAATATAGAAAATTCAGCAGCAACAAACAGTGTGATCGCAAACATCAAATAACAGTTTTTATAAAATTTACAGAAATTAAAAAACAAACGTCGTAATATCAAAAGTTCAATAAAAAGATTTAGGAAAAGTACAACATTGATTTGGACATGAAGATCTCTCTTTCGCTTGTTCTTTCAGTATCTAAATACCTATGCTATGTTACTTAAAAAGTTAGACAAAAGCCAGTAGAAACTTATCGATAAGAAAGTCGATCGACGATCGCTCACTGGAAACAACGAAAACGTATCAATGGACACAGAAACACAAAACCCATGCACGTTTATGCGTATTAGTGCAAACAAAACGCAAGACATCAATTCGTGTTAGAAAAAAGACAATTCGACAGCAAAATCCAAAAAATAACAACTATCCACTTACCACAAATCTGTTCACTTTTACCCTAGGTTGCCTATTCGTTTCCGAACTGTTTTCTCTCATCGATTCGAAGCGGGCCCTCAACCTGCAAGAAATCCTCGCTCATTCGCAACCAAAACCGCGACCTTTACGAAATCGGACTTACGATTTGGTCGATTCGATTTGCGATTGTTCCTCGCCGATTTCTTCGATTATGTTGACGGCGCTGCTGTTTTGTTCCCTCTTGATCTCGTTGGCTTCCCAACGCTCGAATTTGGCACGCAATTGTTTGGCTCTGGCCGCTTTCTGTGCCTCGAGTAAGTCGGCGTCGGCGATCTGGCCCTGGTCGGGTTCGTCCTCTTCCTCCGATTCCTCTTCGGATCCGCTCTCGCCTTCGCTGCTCGACTCGGGTCGGGTCGGTTCGGGCGGAGGCGTGAATCTCTTCAGGGGTTTCGGGCCTGGATTAAACGAGTTTGTCAATGTTTCAGCCGTTTAGCGAACAGATGGAGTTGTGAAAGTTTAAGGCTCTACCACCAGAGACTTTAAATACATAGACTGGCTGTTAGTAACATTTCTAATGCATTTTGGTGAAGCCACGGCGCATGGTAGTATGGACGCCATTGCTATAACTTTTATGTCAAATCAAGCGAGGTTGTGGTGGTTAGCAGCAGCAGTTTCTAGCACAGAACGTTTCTAGACCTCGAAATAAAAGTGGTTGTGTGTCGGAACTTACAAGATTGTTTGTAAATATGGCCATTAAAAATGATTTGTTAACTAAAATGTTTGCCTTAACTTTGCAAAGTAGAACCATACATTTTTTTTCTACATAATGAACATTTGTTTAGTATGGATTAGTTGGACGTAAATAATTCTCATTTTAATTTATTGCTTAAATTAATTTTGAGAAATTATTTGACTCTCGGAATAGGTTATGAGTGCCGCTGAAGTACTGAGCGCGAAAAAGCTATCTCTTTAAGACGAAAATTCACGAAATTAATTTTGTTTCAAGGACATTAAAGGAATTTACATATACATATAGATATTATTATGCTAAATAAATAATTACAATTTGTTGTCTTTTTTATTTAACATTTTAAATTGCATTTTCTGACCTGAAAATTCAAATTTCGCGCACTTACGGTTATAAGCAATATGGCGGTCGAAAAACTTCACGTTTTTCCTGACACAGCCAGTCTATGTATTAAAGTCTCTGTCTACCACACATCAAGAAAAAAAATTTCTATTTCAAGAAGTATGCAACTTGTAGTACAGTAAGATTTTAACACAAATTTTATGTTGATATTTTGCAGTTTAAATAACGTTGCATCATTTATTATATATACCCAACGTTGTTTAATATGAAATTTTGACCAGTAACAGTGTAAGAAACAAAATTATAGAGTATAAATGAGCTTTAACGCCCTTTAATTTTTTTGCGATTGTCTACGACCGAGAAGTTAAAAATCGAGATATTTGGAAACTTGGTTAATTTAAAAATTTTGAGATGGATAAATTCCATAACTGAAATGTCGAATTGAAAAATAAAAAATCGAAAATTTGGAATTCGAAATTTTGAAAAATTAAAAATCAAATAAGTAATTGGAAAATCAGAACAATGAAATTCGGATAACTGAAAAAACGACAAATTTTAAAAAGAAAGAATTATAAAATTAAAAATTGAAAAATTGATTAATTAAAAACCGGACAAATGCGAAATCGGAAATTTGGATAATAATAAAATCGAAAAATTAATAAATTGTAAACCTGAAAAATTGCAAAAATAAAAAACTGAAAATCAAAATTTTGAAAAATAAAACCAGAAAAATTGGAAAATCAAAACAACGAAATTCGAATAATTGAAAAATCAAAAATTAAATATGTAATTGAAAAAATGATAAATTTTTAAAATGATGAATTATAAAGTTGAAAATTGAGAACCTCATTAATAACAACCGAATAACTGAGACATCCAAAAATCGTAAAAATGTAAAATTGAAAAATCAAAAAAGTTGAAATCGAAAAATTGAAAAATCGGATACCTTTAAAAACGAAAAATCTAAAATAATTAAATCGAAAAATATAAAAATAGAACAATTGCAAAATTTACAGAATTGAAAAATCGAATAACTAAACTCGAAAATTTATGAAACGGGAACAATGGATGCAATTTTCCACTTTTACCGTTTCATAAAATTTTTATTGAACTGAAAACAGAAAAATCGAAAAATAAAAAATTTGCAAAATTCAAACTGAAAAATCGTATAATTTTAAAAGTGAAAAAAATCAGACAACTGTAAAAGTAAAATTTTTCGATTTTTCAGTTTCTAGATCTTTCAATTTTTCGATTTTCAATTTTTCCTTTTGCGCCTTTAATTATTCAATTTTACAGTTTTTCGATCTTTTGAAATCTTAGATATTTTCGTTTTTTTAATTTTTTTTTTCTCCATTTTGAAATCTTCAATTTTTCAGTTTCTAGTTATCTTATTTTTCCTCCTGAATTATCCGATTTTTGAGCTTCTCGATTTTTCAATTTTTGTTTCCTCAATCTATTTAGTATCAATCTTAAATGTTTGAGGTTTCAATTGTTTCTCTATTTTTCAAATCTTTCGTTTCTTTAATCAAGCTTTTCTGTTGTTAAATTTTTCGATTTTTCAATTTCTAGATCTTCCAATTTTTCGTTTTTACAATGTTTGTAATATTTCTTTTTGAATTCAATTTTTTTAATTTTTCGATTTACGCTTGTTTGATTTTTTAATGCCTAGATATTTTCGTTTTTTCGACTTTTGAGGTTCTAGATCTTTCAATTTTTCGTTTTTCCAATTTTCCGATTTTTCAATTTGAAATCTTAAGACCTTTTCATTAAAAAAAATTACAATATTGAAAAATTGAAAAATTATGAAATTGAAAAACCAAAACTCGGACAATTGGAAATAGAAATTTTGAAATATTAAAAATCAAAGATTTAGAAAAATTGTAAAATTACAAAATTGAAATAATAATAATGATAATATCGCAAAATTATTGAACTGAAAATTGAAAAATCGAAAAATGAAAAATTGAAAAATTGAAAAATTCTAAAACCAAAAACATGAAAATTCGAAAATTGAAAAAATGACTCATTTAAAACTGGGCAATTAAAATTAGTAAAAATATATAACTGAAAAATCAGACAATTGTAAAACAGAAAATTATGCAACTGAAAAATCAAAAACTTGGACAATTGGAAATCGAAATTTTGAATATTAAAAAGCAAAAAATTAGGAAATCGAAACAATGAAATTCAGACAATTGAAATTCGGACACCTTTAAAATCGAAAAATCAAAAATTCGAAAAGTTACAATTGAAATTTTGAACAATTAAAGATAGAAAAATAGAAAAATTGCAAAATTACAAAACTGAAAAATCGATGAAGTATAAACTCGCAAAATTTATGAAATAGAAAAAATGAAAAATTGCAAAATTAATTAACTGAAAATTGAAAAATCGTAAAATAAAAAATCGAAAAATTGAAAAAAATTCTAAAACCGAAGAAAATTTGAAAATTGAAAAAATGACAATCAAAAACTGGACAAATAAAAATTGTTAAAATACAAAACTAAAAAATTAAAAACTTGTAAAATTCAAACTGAAATCGTATAATTAAATCGAAAAATTGCAAAATTATATATTGAAAAATCAAAACTCGGACAATTGGAAATCGAAATTTTGAAATAGATATTAAAATTCAAAGAATTCTAAAATCGAAACAAAGAAATTCGTACAATTAAAAATCAGATACTTTTATAAAGGAAAAATTGTAAAATAAGTCAACTGAAAAATCAAAAGCTTGACAAATTTAACTTGGAATTTTGAAAAATTGCAAAATTATTAAATTGAAAAATCGAACAATTGAAAAACTGATTCATTAATAACTGACAATTGAGAAATCTACAAAACAGAAAAATCGTATAATGTTCAAATAGAAAAATTGCAAAATTATGAAATTGAAAAATAAAAAATTCGGAAAATTGGAAAACAAAATTTTGAAACATTAAAAATCAATAAATTAGAAAATCCAAAATAAAGAAATTCGGATTATTGGAATTTCAAAGCAAAAATCGAATACCTTTAAAAACGAAAAATTATAGAATAATGAAAGTGAAAAATGAAAAACTTGAAAAATTAAATTTGAAATTGAAATAATAATAATAAGTAAATGTAAAGAAACATGGTGTGGGTATACTTCAAATGAGTTTTTCCTTTACAAAATTTTGTGATGACGTCATCAACATTATACTGGGACGTGTGTATATGAACTTGGTCAGGTGCAAGGTAATAATAATAGTATTATTGTTTTCCCAATTTACTCCTGTATAAGCAATTCTAAAAAATATGAATGCAATCATAAATCACAAGTGTATAAACAAACTCATCATATTTTGCACATTTTCGATAGATAAAGAAATATATTTTTATTTTGGGTAAAAACTCAACGTGGATTCATAAACTACACCTGTAGGACTATGTTATTTCATATAATTTAAATCCCATTAATGAGATGACGTCATCACGTTGTTGGTGGAAATGATTAAAGTTTTGTTTACCATCTATAGTAAACTCACTTGACTTATTAATGGATTTGAAAAGTTTTACTAGATACAAGTCAAGTGAATTAACTATACATACGACTAATAATATTTATATGTATAAAATTTGAGAACACTGTGTAAAAATTTTACTTCTATTTATCCCATATTCTTAAAGTTATTTTTACATATTTTAATGACTGCATGGAGGAACCTTAAGGTTAAACCCAAAAGGAAGACGGATAAGCCAAACGAGAGAGTTACCTGTCGGCTGGGGCTCCCTCGACAAGTTCTCCTCCATCTGCCTGAACTTGTTGAGCATCTTCGTGGCTGTGTGCGTCTCCTTGGCGATTACCGAATCCTCGACCAACTCCTCGGCCCTCACGATCTCCGGGTCCCTGTACACGTCCCTGTCCGGCGTGGGCGCCTACAAGAAACCCCTTTAAACTCGCCACCTCTCCACAGCCCCACAACACAACAATCGCACTCTATCTCTAGTTAATAGTTATTAATTAGCTCGTCATTCCTTCACAGCGACATTAGTCGATTAGAACGCATCTCAAAGCCACTCGCTATCGCTTAACCTTGACTTGTCCCTCCCGGGGCGGCGTTATCCGGAACGCCCTCTTCTCCTTTTCGGGCTCTTTGTACGTTTCGAAAAATTTGAAACGCTGCTGGATATCTGAGGTACGTATCTGTACGTCGTCGACGACGTTCGTCTTCGACGACTTGACGGTGTCTTCGGTGGCTTGTTTCTGAATGTAGCTCTTCAAAGACGCGAGATTATGGGGGGTCGATCTGTGAAGGGGGTATGTGGGGGAAGGGGGGTGGGTACTTACGTCGCGGGCCTTCTTCACGTCGATCTTCGGCGTCGAGATGGGGGTGAGTTGCGGCGGTTTCGAGGCGTTGGCGTCGAGTTCGAGGAAGAGGGAGCGCGACTTTTTGCTGATCTCTGGAAGATGGAACGGGTTCGTCAGGGGGGCACACATCAACATGTTAAGCGGGGTGTGAACTCACCGCTTTCGAAGACTTCCGTTTCTTCGCCGTCTTTCTCGCGGGCGTTCTTCTCTTGGACTAACTCTCCTTTTTCGAATCGTTCCTTCAAGGATTTCGTGTCGCACACTTCGATCGGTTCTTTCCTCAAATTGACGCACGATTCGGATTCCATCACAGCCTGTTGATAAGCCTCTTTCATCTTCCCTTGTTTACCCTGGAAAGAGGAATGAAAAGTGCTGGGACTAAAACAAAAAGCGCGTACCATGAAAAGCCGGTTTCGTATAGATTGGATCTCCTGCTTCCTCTCCTCCCGCCGCTCATCTCTGGTCGACAACTGCTCGCCTTGCTCCCACCGACTCTTCACGTCCGACATCCCCGTGAAATGGAAGGGTTTCTCCTTCTGCACCCTCTTGGCTCGAATCAAGTCGGCGTCCTCGCCTTCGAGACCGTCCTCCTCTTCTTCCTCCTCCGAGGAAGTCTCCTCGATCGGGATGCCGTTCAAAGAGTCGTCCGCGACGCCTATGTCCATGCCTTTCGCCTGGAACCTACCCGGAGGTTAAAAAAAACAACCAAATAACGGGTTTGAGTAATGACAGTTGACACTTTCGATTTTTATTGAATGCAATCCTGTACTCTTTTTTCAATAGGGAATTGTCAAGTCAAACAATAGTTATATGGCGTTCACGATTGTTTTAAACGCGCAGTAGGCCTAGAGTTTTTTGATTAGGTTAGGGACAGGTCTATCGTATGATGTTTTTTTTTTTTAATATTGGTCTTGTTGTCAGTTCTTACCTTAGCTAATTTCAGTTTTATGTCAAAAAATCAGTGGCGACATAAGTAAAGTTTCGATATTGCGTAAAAAAAGAAAATAATTTCGATAATTATTAATGATGATTAGATTCTCATAATCTTTAATAAATTAATAATTATTTAAGTCAAAATTTGACGAAAATATTCTTTATTGTGTTTAAAATAATCCAAAGTTCAGTTTTATAAAATCGGGTACTTCTCCACATGGGTTAGAAAAAAAATCAAAATTGTATTGTGCAGAGCACTTTTTCCCAATTTTATTGTAAAATAAAAATTCAAATAAATCAATTCTTTGTGTGATTTTTTTTTTATTTTGCTTTCTATAAATTATTTCATGTTCATTGCATTCATACATAGAACTCATTCGACTTTCTTTATAACCTAAATTCCATTAACAGATTTATAAATAAAAAAGTTATTCGAGGTGTCTCCTTTTAGCTAACCCACCCTGTATAACAATTTTTCGATTGCTCAATGTTTCGGCTTTACGATTTCACGATTTTTCAACTTTCCGATGTTTAATTTTTTTGATTTTTCAATTTTTGATGTTTATTTCGATTTCTCAATTTCTTAAATAAAGGATTTTTTGGTTTTTCAACTTTTCGATTTGTGGACTTCTTTTACTTGATTTTTAGATTTATCAGTTTTTCAATTCTTCAAATTATCACCGATGTTTCGGTTTTGGGATTTTTCACTTTTTCGATACTTCAGTTTTAAGGTTTTCAATATTTTTCGATTTTTCAATTTTTAAATCTTAGATAAAATTTCTAATTCCTCAATTTTTCAGTTCTCCGACATTTCTTTTTTTCTATTTTTCGAATTTTGAAATTTTAGATCTAGATTTTGAGACATTTCGATTTCCAAATTCGACTTCTCGATGTTTGTTTTTCATTTCCAATATTTCGTTTTTTGAATTCTAGATTTTCCGACTTTTCGGCTTTTCGATTTCTCAATTTACCAATGTTCAGTTTTGGGATTTTTAATTTTTCAATTTCTTTTCGTTTGTTCAATTTTTCGATTTCTCGATTTTTTTCTTTTTCAATTTTTTTATGTTCCAGTTTTGAGATTTTTCAAATCATATTTCGATTTCTCAACATTTCGAATTTTTGCCTTTTCCATTTTTCGATTTTTCAGTTTTTCAAATTTTTTAAAACTTTGGATTTTTCAGTTTTTGGATATTTCTTTTTTTCAATTTTCCGAATTTTTAATTTTTAGATTTCAGTTTTTGATGTTTCGATTTCCCAATTTTTCGGCTTCTCTATTTTTTGATTTCTCGAACTTTAGATCTTTTGTTTCTCGATGTTTCAATTTTCAATTTTTTTATTCTTCCATTTTTTTGGATTTTTCAACTTTTCAACATTTCAGTTTTAGCTTTTTGCAATATTTCAATTCTTCAATTTTTCGACTGTTCGATTATTCGATTTCTCCTAATTTTTACCTTTTCGATTTTTCAATTTTCCAATAAGTATTTAAATTTTGGATTTTTCAATTTCTAGACTTTTCGATTTTCCAGTTTTTCGATGTTCCTATTTTTCAATTTTTCGATTTTTTATATTTTCAAGTTTCCAACTACTCAATTTTTCAACTTGCCAATGTTTATACTAGTTTTTCAAAATTTTTATTTTTCAATTTTTAAAATTTTAGATTTTTCGATTTTTTAGTTCTTTGATATTTCAATTTTTCAATTTTCCGAAAATAAATTTTAGATTTCAGTTTTCTGATGTTTCGATGTCTCAATTTTTCGTCTTCTTGGTTCGTCATTTTCCAATTTTTAAAATTTTTGATTTTGGACTACATATTTCAATTTCCCAATTTGTCGACTTCTCGACTTTTCAATTTCCCGATCTTTAAGTGATATTTTGTTTCTCGATGTTTCAAAATGTCAATGGTTCGATGTTTCAATTTTTCGATATTTCAGTTTTAGGCTTTTTCAATATTTCAATTCTTCAATGTTTGGACTTTTTCGATTTGTCGATTTTTTATTTTTTCGATTTTTCGATTTTCCAATATTTAAATTTTGGATTTTGCAATTTACCAATATTTAAATTTTGGATTTTTCAATTTTTCGAGTTTGCAAGTTTCGTTTTTCAATTTCTAGATTTTTCGACATTTCAATTTTCCAATTTTTGAATTAATCGATTTTTTCGTTTCCGCATTTTCGAATTTTTAGTTTTTCAATTTTTATATTTTCGACTTTCCGACTTTTCTCAACTTACCGAAGTTACCGTTTTGGGATTTAAAATTTTTAATTCTTCAATTTTAGTGAGGTTGTTCAATTTTTCGATTTTTTGATTTTTAAATTTTAGATTTTCAATGTTTCTTAGGTTTTTGAATTTTTTAATATCTCAGTTTTGAGATTTTTTAATATATATTTTAATTCTTCAATATTTTTAGGTTTATCAACATTTCGATTTTTTGCTTTTTCGATTTTTCAATTTTTAAATTATAATTTTTTAATTTATTCGATTTTTTGAAGTTTCGATTTGTCAATTTTTCAATTCTTCAGTTTTTTTAAATTTAAGTTTTCAGTTTTAATGTTTTCAATCTTGGAATGTTTTCAATTTTTAGATAATTCAATTTTATGTTTTATCAATATTTTGAATTTCTTGTTTCTCGATTTTTTGTTGCTTCAATTTTTTTATTTTTATATGTTGTAATTTTTTTGCTTCACTTTTCCAATTTGTAGTTTTTCGATTCCAAGTTTGCGTTTGCTTTATTTCAATTGTGCAAATTTTCATAATTCGATTTCTCAATTTTTCAAGTTTCCAGTTTTGAATTTTTTAATTTTTCGATTTTTCTATTTGCTATTTTTCGAGTCCTCGGTTTCGATTTTTCCAATTTTGAAGAGTTTTCAATTTTTAGATATTTTAATTTTCTCTTGTTTCAATATTTTGATTTTCTAGTTTCTCGATTTTTGTTGCTTACATTTTTTGATTTTTAAATGTTGTCATTTTTGTTGCTTTACTTTTTCAATTTGTAGTTTTTCGATTCCAAGTTTGCATTTGTTTTATTTTAATGTTGCAAAATTTTCATACATGGATTTCTTAATTTTTGAAGTTTCGTTTTAAATTCTTTAATTTTTCGATTTTTCTCTTTCTAGGTTTTTAATTTTTCTATTTGCTATTTTTCGAGTTTTCAGTTTTAATTTTGTCAATTTTGAAGAGTTTTCGATTTTTGGACATTTCAGTTTTCCGTTTTTTCCAGTATTTTGATTTTCTAGTTTCTCAATTTTTTGTTGCTTGAACTTTTTGATTTTTAAATGATGGAATTTTGTTGCGTCACCTTTTCAATTTGCCGTTTTAGGATTCCAAGTTTGCAGTTTCAAATTCTTTAATTTTTCAATTTTTCTGTTTGCTATTTTTCCAGTTTCTGTTTTATTTATTTCAATTTTGAAGACTTTTCAATTTTTAGATATTTTAATTTCCCGGTTTTTCAATATTTTGATCTTCTAGTTTCTCGATATTTTGTTCCTTCAATTTTTTTATTTTTAAATGTTGTCATTTTTATTGCTTCACTTTTTCAATTCGCAGTTTTTGGATTTTTCACGTTGGAGATTTTTAATTTTCTAATTACTCTATTTGTTATTTTTCGAGTTTGCATGTTTCGTTTTTCAATTTCTAGATTTCTCGACATTTCAATTTTCCAATTTTTGAATTAATCGATTTTTTCGTTTCCGCATTTTCGAATTTTTAGTTTTTCAATTTTTATATTTTCGACTTTCCGACTTTTCTCAACTTACCGAAGTTACCGTTTTGGGATTTTAAATTTTTAATTCTTCAATTTTTGTAAGGTTGTTCAATTTTTCGATTTTTTGTTTTTTAAATTTTAGATTTTCAATGTTTCTTAGTTTTTGAATTTTTTAATATTTCAGTTTTGAGATTTTTTAATATATATTTTAATTCTTCAATATTTTTAGGTTTTTCAACATTTCGATTTTTTGCTTCTTCGATTTTTCAATTCTTAAATTTTAATTTTTTAATTTATTCGATCTTTTGAAGTTTCGATTTGTCAATTTTTCAATTCTTCAGTTTTTTAAAATTGAAATTATTCAATTTTCTGAATTTTAAATGTTAGATTTCAGTTTTTGATGTTTCGATTTCCCAATTTTTCGGCTTCTCTATTTTTCGATTTCTCGATCTTTAGATCTTTTGTTTCTCGATGTTTCATTTTCAATTTTTTTTTATTCTTCCATTTTTTTGGATTTTTCAACTTTTCAACATTTCAGTTTTAGCTTTTTGCAATATTTCAATTCTTCAATTTTTCGAATTTCGATTTTTCAATTTTCCAATACGTATTTAAATTTTGGATTTTTCAATTTTTTATATTTTCAAGTTTCCAACTACTCAATTTTTCAATTTTTAAAATTTTAGATTTTTCGATTTTTTAGTTCTTTGATATTTCTATTTTTCAATTTTCCGAAAATAAATTTTAGATTTCAGTATTTTGATGTTTCGATGTCTCAATTTTTCGTCTTCTTGGTTCGTAATTTTCCAATTTTTAAAATTTTTGATTTAGGACTACATATTTCGATTTTCCAATTTGTCGACTTCTCGACTTTTCAATTTCCTGATCTTTCAGTAATATTTTGTTTCTCAATGTTTCAAATTTTCAATGTTTCGATGTTTCAATTTTTTGATATTTCAGTTTTAGGTTTTTTCAATATTTCAATTCTTCAATGTTTGGACTTTTTCGATTTCTCGATTTTTTATTTTTTCGATTTTTCAATTTTCCAATATTTAAATTTTGGATTTTTCAATTTTTCGAGTTTGCGTGTTTCAGTTTTTCAATTTTCCATGTTTCGTTTTTCAATTTCTAGATTTTTCGACATTTCGATTTTCCAATTTTTGAATTAATCGATTTTTTCGTTTCCGTAGTTTCGAATTTTTAGTTTTTCATTTCTTCAATGTTTAGAGTTTTTACATGTTTGACTTTTCAACTTTTATATTTTCGACTTTCCGACTTTTCTCAACTTACCGAAGTTACAGTTTTGGGATTTTAAATTTTTAATTCTTCAATTTTTGTTAGTTTGTTCAGTTTTTCGATTTTTAACTTTTTCGATTTTTAAATTTTAGGTTTTCAATGTTTCTTAGGTTTTTCAATTTTTTAATATTTCAGTTTTGAGATTTTTCAATATATATTTTAATTCTTCAATATTTTTAGATTTTTCAACATTTCGATTTTTTGCTTTTTCGATTTTTCAATTTTTAAATTATAATTTTTTAATTTATTCGATTTTTTGAAGTTTCGATTTGTCAATTTTTCAATTCTTCAGTTTTTTAAAATTTAAATTATTCAATTTTCCGAATTTTAAATGTTAGATTTCAGATTTTTGATGTTTCGATTTCTCAATTGTTTACTTTTTCGATTTCTCGTTGTTCCAGTTTTTTATTCCTCCTATTTTTTGTTCGATTTTTCAATTTTTCAATTTTCCAATATTTAAATTTTAGATTTTTCAATCTTTCGACTATTCGAATTTTTCCATTAATCGATTTTTTTGATTTCCGATTTTTCGAATTTTCTGTTTTTCAATTCTTCAGTGTTTCAAATTTTTAGGTTTTTGATTTTTCAATTTTTCGTTTTCTTTTTTTATTTTCGACTTTCCAACTTTTCGATTTCTCGATTTCTTAATTTACCAATATGTCAGTTTTCAGGATTTTTAATTTTTCGATTCTTTAATTGTTTCTCGATTTTTTACTTTTTCGATTTTTTGATGTTTCGATTTCTCAATTTTTCAATTCTTCAAAATTTTTAAATTTGAGATTTTTCGATTTTTCAGTTCTTTTGGATGTCTCAAATTCTTAATTTTTCAGTTTTACAATTTTTCAATTTTTAAAGCTTTTCGATTTCCCCATTTTTCTTCGATATTTCTATTTTTCAACTTTTCGAATTTTTGCTTTTTCGATTTTTCAATTTTTAAATTATAATTTTTTAATTTATTCGATCTTTTGAAGTTTCGATTTGTCAATTTTTCAATTCTTCAGTTTTTTAAAATTTAAATTATTCAATTTTCTGAATTTTAAATGTTAGATTTCAGTTTTTTTGATGTTTCGATTTCTCAATTGTTTACTTTTCCGATTTCTCGTTTGTTCCAGTTTTTTATTCCTCCTATTTTTTGTTCGATTTTTCAATTTTTCAATTTTCCAATATTTAAATTTTTCAATCTTTCGACTTTTCGAATTTTTCCATTAATCGATTTTTTTGATTTCCGATTTTTCGAATTTTCTGTTTTTCAATTCTTCAGTGTTTCAAATTTTTAGGTTTTTGATTTTTCAATTTTTCGTTTTCTTTTTTAATTTTCCACTTTCCAACTTTTCGATTTCTCGATTTCTTAATTTACCAATATTTCAGTTTTCAGGATTTTTAATTTTTCGATTCTTTAATTGTTTTTCGATTCTTTAATTGTTTCTCGATTTTTTACTTTTTCGATTTTTTGATGTTTCGATTTCTCAATTTTTCAATTCTTCAAAATTTTTAAATTTGAGATTTTTCGATTTTTCAGTTCTTTTGGATGTCTCAAATTCTTAATTTTTCAGTTTTCCAATTTTTCAATTTTTAAAGATTTTCGATTTCTCGATTTCCCCATTTTTCCTCGATATTTCTATTTTTCCACTTTTCGAATTTTTGCTTTTTCGATTTTTCGATTTTTCAATTTTTAAATTATAATTTTTTAATTTATTCGATTTTTTGAAGTTTCGATTTGTCAATTTTTCAATTCTTCAGTTTTTTTAAATTTAAATTATTCAATTTTCCGAATTTTAAATGTTAGATTTCAGATTTTTGATGTTTCGATTTCTCAATTATTTACTTTTTCGATTTCTCGTTGTTCCAGTTTTTTATTCCTCCTATTTTTTGTTCGATTTTTCAATTTTTCAATTTTTCAATTTTCCAATATTTAAATTTTAGATTTTTCAATCTTTCGACTTTTCGAATTTTTCCATTAATCGATTTTTTTGATTTCCGATTTTTCGAATTTTCTGTTTTTCAATTCTTCAGTGTTTCAAATTTTTAGGTTTTTGATTTTTCAATTTTTCGTTTTCTTTTTTTATTTTCGACTTTCCAACTTTTCGATTTCTCGATTTCTTAATTTACCAATGTCAGTTTTCAGGATTTTTAATTTTTCGATTCTTTAATTGTTTCTCGATTTTTTACTTTTTCGATTTTTTGATGTTTCGATTTCTCAATTTTTCAATTCTTCAAAATTTTTAAATTTGAGATTTTTCGATTTTTCAGTTCTTTTGGATGTCTCAAATTCTTATTTTTTCAGTTTTCCAATTTTTCAATTGTTAAAGCTTTTCGATTTCTCGATTTCCCCATTTTTCTTCGATATTTCTATTTTTAACTTTTCGAATTTTCAAATTTTTTCTTTCTCAGTTTGATTTTTAAATTTTTTAATGTGTATGCATGTGATCAACGGTTTGTTTTTCATACACAATTGACTCCAAAAATAAAGAAAGTAGATTTTCAAAAAAATCAATATATCTTTATAGACAATCGTACTGAATTTGCCTAAAGCCACTAATTAATCACAAAACAACTTTGGGCCGTAATCTAAAACCTTCTTCCGTTCAAACAGAAACTTTACATTTTCGTCCACGATATTTATTCTCGGTGAAATATTAGTTGACAAACTTGATCCTGATAGATTTATACTCATTACTTTACTGATTCATTTCGCAAGCAACAAAAAATGAACACCATTGTTTACTAAATGTTTTGTTGGCTCAAACCGTCTATATTCAAAGCAGTAAAAAACAAATCAATTTCTGGAGTGTTGGCGTCGCTTGCATTGTTCTCTGTTTCAATTAATTTAAGGAACATATAAACTTAATACCTCTGAAAATATCTCAATAAGCGTGTTTTTATTTCATTGTTTTGTTGCATTTTCTTTCGTTTCTGTTTTTTTTTTTTTAACAACTTTAGACATGCTAAATCCTTTCCAAGGACACATTATTATTAATCTAAATTATATTCCTGCACATCATTTAATCCAAGATATCGAGAAGTTCTAGGCCGACTTTTTATTACAGCATGCCATCTACGTTGAGCCCGGCAATAAATTACTTCGGTTATTAAAACAAGCACTTACTTCGCCAGTTTTGACAGGATCGACGGCGACCTCTTCACGTTGACGGCGGACGGCGTTCGGTCTTCGCCCATGTCTGTGCTGTGCTGCTCGAAGACCTGGAAGCGCTCCTTCACGTTAAGGCTGTGCAGTTCTTCGAGGCCGAGGTCGGGCTTGTCGCTCGCTGCGGACATTTTTGACGGTTAGACGCCGAGGTCTGGTGATCGTGAGGAAGGTTTAGTCACGACGTGTTAATTTTAAACTGATAGTAGAGATAGTGGCGGTGTATTTGATTTTTACGGATTGCGAGCTGGAAAAAGCCCCGCCGGTTTCGTGGAGCGGCATCGCGGGGAGTGGATTAGTCAATTTTAGTCGTAAAGATTAAGAGCAAACAAAGGGATTAATAAAATGCGATTGTTCGAGTGGGTTTTTTATTTATTGCTGAGAATTGTCGGTGATGAAGATTGCTCGGAATGAGATGTTCGTTGATAAAAATGTGTGTCGATGTATAAACTGTTCTGGATGTTTTTGGACAAACTAAATTTACCTAATATGATAATTGATAAATTTCTTCTTTCAACTAGATTTACATGGCCTACCTTTGTCTAAAAACATCCTGAACATGTATGTACGTAGCACGCGAAAAGTCGAAAAAACGTGTTTTTAAATTTAGTCCTCGTTAGCGTGGTTCTCCCGTATCTTCCGTTTTTTTCTTTTGAAAATCAATCACTGAACCACATCAAAGTCGAATTAATGTAGTACGTCAACAACAGTGAAGCACCTTCCGAAAATAACCTCATAATTAAATTGAAATCATTCAATTACATACAGCCGTACAACAGCAGTGATTTGAATAATGGATATCTCTCAAATAATGTCACGGGCGCACGTTTTGAAATCGATAACTTTAAATCGTCGAAAAAGCAAATTCATATCAAATGAAATTACCGGTATACGGTGAAAGCACAATTTAATGGCAAGTTAGGCGTAGTAAATGTATTAAATTTGGAGCATGTATATATTTTAAATATTTGGAGTTGATCTTGACATTTATTTTCTTTAACATACAGATTCCCTAATGCAATGTATTGCAACCTTTAATTTTTTGGGGGATTTTTAGACAACTTAAAAATTATCAATTTTTCAATATGAATTTCTTAAATGAAAGTCATTATCTTGTAGATTCCCATCTGTAGAAGTCAATTATCCAGAATCAATAAAATGAAAAATCGGTCATCTGTTGTCTATTGCGATTTTTTTACACTTTCAACCACTTGAATTGTGCTTTAAAAATTCAAATGTTTCAGAATTTTTTTGTTTCCCTTGTTGACAAGTGTTTTTGTGTTCTTTAATTGATTTTAAAATAGCAGTTCTTTTAATTTCCACTGTTTCGAGTTCCCAATATTTTGATATTCTAGTTTCTCGATTTTGTATTTTTCGTTGCTTCAATTTATAGATTTTACAATTTTTGATTTTTTAATTTTTAAATATTATAATTTCTGTTCTTCAAAATTTTCATACTTCGATTTCTCAATTTTTCAAGTTTCCAGTTTTAAATTCTTCAATTTTTCGATTTTTCACTTTCTGGGTTTTTAATTTTTAGATATTTTAATTTTCCGTTTTCTCCACATTTTGATTTTTAAATGTTGTAATTTTTGTTGCTTCAGTTTTTCAATTTGCAGTGTTTCGATCCCAAGTTTGCATTTGTTTTATTTCAATTTTGCAAAATCTTCATACTTCGATTTCTCAATTTTTCTAGCTTCCTGTTTTAATTTTTTTAAATTTTAGATTTTTCACTTTCTAGGTTTTTAATTTTGCAATTATTCTATTTGCTATTTTCCAAGTTTCCAGTTTTAATTTTTTAAATTTTGATCAGTTTTCAATTTTTAGATATTTTAATTTTCCGTTTTTGCAATATTTTGATTTTCTAGTTTCTCGATTTTTTTTGTTGCTTCATTTTTTTGTTTTTAAATATTGTAATTTTTGCTGCTTCACGTTTCAATTTGCAGTTTTTCGTTTCCAAGCTTGCATTTGCTTGATTTCAATTTTGCAAAATTTTCATACTTCAATTTCTCAGTTTTTCAAGTTTTCAGTTTTAAATTCTTTAATTTTTCTATTTTTCACTTTCTGCGTTTTTAATTTTTCAATTTTTCGAGTTTTCAGTTTTAATGTTTTCAATCTTGGAAAGTTTTCAATTTTTAGAAACTTTAATTTTACGTTTTATCAATATTTTGATTTTCTTGTTCCTCGATTTTTTGCTGTTTCAATTTTTTTATTTTTATATGTTGTAATTTTTTTGCTTCACTTTTCCAATTTGTAGTTTTTCGATTCCAAGTTTGCGTTTGCTTTATTTCAATTGTGCAAAATTTTCATAATTCGATTTCTCAATTTTTCAAGTTTCCAGTTTTGAATTTTTTAATTTTTCGATTTTTCTATTTGCTATTTTTCGAGTCCTCGGTTTTGATTTTTCCAATTTTGAAGAGTTTTCTATTGTTTCAATATTTTGATTTTCTAATTTCTCAATTTTTTGTTGCTTAAATTTTTTGATTTTTAAATGTTGTCATTTTTGTTGCTTCACTTTTTCTATTTGTAGTTTTTCGATTCCAAGTTTGCATTTGTTTTATTTAAATGTTGCAAAATTTTCATACATCGATTTCCTAATTTTCCAAGTTTCGTTTTAAATTCTTTAATTTTTCGATTTTTCTCTTTATAGGTTTTTAATTTTTCTATTTGCTATTTTTCGAGTTTTCAGTTTTAATTTTTTCAATTTTGAAGAGTTTTCGATTTTTAGACATTTCAGTTTTCCGTTTTTTCCAGTATTTTGATTTTCTAGTTTCTCAATTTTTTGTTGTTTGAACTTTTTGATTTTTAAATGATGGAATTTTGTCGCGTCACCTTTTCAATTTGCCGTTTTAGGATTCCAAGTTTGCAGTTTCAAATTCTTTAATTTTTCAATTTTTCTGTTTGCTATTTTTCGAGTTTCTGTTTCATTTATTTCAATTTTGAAGACTTTTCAATTTTTAGATATTTTAATTTTCCGGTTTTTCAATATTTTGATCTTCTAGTTTCTCGATATTTTGTTGCTTCAATTTTTTGATTTTTCACGTTGGAGATTTTTCATTTTCCAATTACTCTATTTGTTGTTTTTCGAGTTTTTTATTTTTTCAATTTTAAAGAGTTTTCAATTTTTAGATGTTTTAATTTTCCGTTTTTTTTTCAATATTTTGATGTTCACTTTTTTAATTTTTAAATGTAATTTTTGTTGCATCAGTTTTTCAATTTGAAGTTTTTCGATTCCAGTTTTCCATTTATTTTATTTAAATTTTGCAAAATTTTCATACTTCGTTTTCTCAATTTTTCAAGTTTCTAGTTTTAAATTCTTTAATTTTTCAAATTTTCACTTGCTAGATTTTTTATTTTTCAATTTTTCTATTTGTTATTTATCAAAGTTCTCAGTTTTAATTTTTTCAATTTGAAGAGTTCAATTTTTTTATTTTTCTTTTTTTCAATATTTTGATTTTCTCGTTTTTCAACTTCTTGATTTTTAAATATTGTAATTTTTGTTGCTCCACTTTTTTAATTAGCAATTTTTCGGTTCCAATTGTTTTATTTCACTTTTGCAATTAATGTTTCGCATTTTCATATTTCAATTTCTCAATCTTTAAGTTAGTTATTTTAAATTCTAAAATTTTTCAAAGTTTCACTTTCTCAATTTTTTAATTTTTCGAGTTTTCAATTTTAATTTTTTCAATTTTGAACTTAACAGATTTTCGATTTTTCCATTTTTCAATTGCAATTTTTCTTCCATTTCCTATGTCTGTTTGTGCGCCGTCTGTGTCGATTTTTGTTGTCGGAAACTATCGGACTGATTGTTGTCAAATTTTATATGTGTATTAGGAATATCATGAAATGGTAAAACGGTAACTAAACTTTGTCTAATCATCCCCAACAACGATGTGACGTCACCTTAAAATTGCACACATTAAATGGGTTTTAAATTGAATAAAAAACATTCCTACACGTGTAGCTTATGAATCCGTGTTGTGTTTTTGGATCTTTTGAAATATTGCAGACGCTTTAAAGTTATCATAAAAATGACAATTTTTTAATTAAAATATATTTGTTCGTTCCTCTAAAAAATCGATGACATCATCTGAAAAATTTGATCTAATAAATGTTAATTGAATTTTACAGAATTATACTTCTGCACGTGTGATTCATGATTTTTCTTTACCACAGACGTCCAGATTTTTGGAAAAAAATTAAAAATGTATAACATTTTACAATTTTGAAATCTGTAAAATCTACTGTTCTAAAGTCATGAACCCTTTAAGGTTATAGGAAGTTTCGACTTTTGGAATTAATAGACCACTGTATTTTCAATTTCTCGAGTTTTAGTTTTTTCGATTGTTGATTTATCAATTTTTCGAATTTTAGATTTTTCCAATATTTGATTTTATCGAATTTTCAATTTTTCAATGTTTTCGTTCTTCACTTTTCAACTTTTTAATTTTTCGAATTTTTGATTTTTCAGTCTTAGAATTTTCACCCTTTTTACTTTCCGATTTTCGAACTTTCGAGTTTTCGACACTCCGATTTTCGATTTTTTAGTTTTTCAATTTTCGAATGTTTGAAATTATAATTTACGCCACTGATTTTTACTTACTTGAGGTTATCACAAAACAAAAATCGCAAAACCAAATTTTAAAATCTTTGAAAAAACGGAATTTATTGGGCTTTATGTACAAACACTGAAAATGTTTTAACATTAAAATAACGAGTGATCAAAAAAAAATCCTGCAGTTACTGAGTGATCATCTTTTGTGACTAAAACATGCATTTGCATTGACATGATATGTTAAAAAAGTGAGGTTATAACAAACTTCAATTAAAATTATTTTATAATTTCTGGTGCTATAATATGAGTTAAATCTACAATGTACAAAATATGATGCATCTGTATTCATTACATTCATATTTTTCAGAAATACTAGTACAGGGTGAGTCAAAAAAAATCACAAAATTTTCGAAATGAAAATTAATATTACATACATATTTTATTTTAACTTAGGAGTTATCAAAAAAAGTAGACGGACATTTGGCACCAAAATATTGATTTGATGGTGCTAAATAAAACAAATTGCGGTGATAATTTGACATTTCCGATATATATGTAAGTAGTGCATTAAGACCAGTTTTTCTCCGTATGCATAATTAGATTTAATCAATTATTTATTCATAATTACACAGCCAAGGTGTTTCCAAGCACACGTTCGAAGTTGACGGGTTATTTAACTCGGTAAACGTATTTGGGGGTTTCTTTCGCTTCAAATTTATTCATCAATTTACATTCTTTTCAGAGTAGACAATTTTAATTGTTTTTGCCCCACAACCGTATGCTACTGAAACATTCAATATAACTGAAATTTCCCAACTCTTTTTTTTTTAATTTTAAACACCACAAAACTTCAACAACGAAACAACACATGTGAAAACCCAGTTATTAAAACTTAAGCCACGCACTCAGGGGCCTAATTCCAGCCCTCTCGTCAAAAAAACACAGATGGAGCTACGGTTAAATTCGCAAAGCACACTCGATACCTCTAACAACGTCGGGTGGCAATTCAACCGGCTGACTTTCCCGAATAATCAGCTCCGGCTTTCTAGGTTTGCCTGAAAACAGTGAAACACTCGCAATTTCAAAACAATTCGATCGATCTGACTATAAACACGCAACATCGTCTCTCAACTTACGAGGAGTGTCGTCTTCGACGGCCTTCGGGGCGAAGAGGGCTTTGAAATGGGGCTTGCAGTACAAGGTTCCCTCATTGCTTTGATATGTGTCGACGCTGCAACCGACAAAATGAGCACTAATCGAACAGAGAGGGTGCAAGAGGCGACAGTCCGACCGAAAATGACCCTCACGCATGTAGCCAGTGCAAAAGGGTCATAATCGCTCGATGCGGCGAAACGTCGCGACTGCCGACTCTCTATTCAGCGTTTGGTGGTACACACTTCAATTGTTTACTGCATTCGGTGCATCGGAAGCAGTTCTTGTGCCAGACGGCCTTCTCAGCCTTGATCTGCTCCATTTGGAAAACGGCTTTGCCGCACGACCGGCAGTTGGAGGTGTCGACTTGGGCGCCCTGAGACACAAGGATAAATAAAAATTGAATTGAGATTGCGAGGGCTTACATTGAATTTTTCTTGTGCTTTCGACGAATCCGAGGAGCGGATGTGGAGGACGTTCTTCTTTTGTAAGGCGTCGAATTTGTTGAAACTTGATTTCTGGAAAATAGGGCTGGAGTGAGAGAAGTGGTGGAAATGCAAGCAGTGACGAGATAGACAATTTCAATTTTTTTTTCTTGGGATTTTGTTTTGATTATGGCGTGTTCGGAGCGTTTAGCTTGTGTTTGCTTTGTATCGATCGCTGCGTTATTAAACGTTCAAAATTTAATGAAAATCGCTTTGGGTTGGAAACGTTTAAAATTGGTGGAGATGTGGGCAGTTGTTTATAGTGGTCTATTTTAATTGAAGGTGAGTCAGATGTACTCCTTAGCGGTATAATTGTTATTTTTAAGTGCCTGAACGCGGCTGCGTTATTTAAATCGGATAGTTGTAATTTCTTATTTTACATTATTTGACTCACAAATTTGGAAGAGAGAGTCGACATATTTTAATACCGAGATTTCTTTTAGTCAGTGAATATTACGGTTACTGCGGATGTTTTTTACAATTAAACTTCTTCAATTTTATTTTTTTTTATCTCCAGTTTTCGAACTGTCATTTTTCGAGTTTTTAACGTTTAAATTTTTCGGTTTTTCAATTTTCCCACTTTTTCAATTTTTAGATTTTGCAATTTTAGATCTGCAGTTTCACGAGTTTTCAATTTTAAATTTTTCAATTTTGCGATTTTTCAATTTTTAGATTTTGCAATTTTAGATTTGCAGTTTCACGAGTTTTCAATTTTAAATTTTTCAATTTTACGATTTTCCAATTTTTCATGTCTTCAATTTTTCAGTGTTCCGACTTTACAATTTTTAGATTTTTTAGTTTTTCGTTTTTTCAATTTTAGAATTTTTAGTTTTATGATTTTTCAATTTTTCGTTTGCTCAATTTTTGATTTGCAGCTTTTTTAGTTTTCATTTTAAATACAGATGTAGTACATAGCATTACTTTCCATAGATTTTTCAATTTTTCGAGTTTTAATTTTTCGATTTTTAATTTTTAATTTTTGAATTTCTCGAGATTTATTAATTATTCAAATTTTCAATCTGGCAATGTTACAATTTTTCGACTTTACTATTTTGATGATTTTATAATTTTTCGATTCGATTGGTTTTTCTTCTTTCCAATTTTTCGATTTATTACTTTTTTCGATTTTTAAGTTTCTCGATTTCTTTGATCTTTAAATGGAGTTCCCTATTTCCCACTTTTCCCATTTTGCAATTTTTCTTTTTTTGTTTTTTCAAATTTTTCTGATTTTTTAGATTTTCGTTCCATTTTTTAACTATTCCAATCAACAAAATCGAAAAATTGCAAAATTGTTAAACTATATAATATTAAAAAGGAAAAAACTAAAAAGTACAAAATGAAACTTTAAAAAGCTAAAATTGGAAGAAAAAACTAAAAATTATTAAATCGAAAAATTTATTTTCATTGAGATCGTAATTTATAACTCATTCTTCTAATATGCTAAAAAAGTAAAAAATCGCAGTAACGATCAACTTTAAATTTAGAAAATACTCAGCACAAAAAAGAGAACAAAAAATAGAATAAGATGCAGTAATAAAATATGGAATGTTCTATTTCTAAAAATTGTAATAATTAAAACACTTTTTATTAACAATCCGTACATGAAAATTTAATCTAATTTACACTACATCAAAGCACGTATTTTTATTTATCTCTCCACAAAATATTGGAACAGATATTTCAAAAATAACTCCACTGCGATTTTCTGTGAACCCTTCTATTGCTAAAAACTTAGGTGTTTCATTAAAAAAAAAACAAGTTCTTTTCATTTTCTCGATTTTTAAGTCTTCAATTTTCGATCTTTAAAATTTTCAATTACCTAATCGAATTTTTGGATTTTCGGCTTTTCAGTTTATCAATTTTTAGATTTGTGGTTTTCTATTTTTCGGCTTTTCAATTTACTGACTTTTCAATTTTTCGAATTCTCAATTTTCTTCGATTTTTCATTTTTCGATTTTTAGTTTTGGGATTTTTCAATGTTTCAATTCTCCAATTTTTCGATTTTTAAATTTCAAAATTTTCAATTTTTCAATGTTCCGATTCCTCGATTTTTCAATATATTAGTTTTTCGGTAGTTTAATTTTTCAATTTTTCGATTTCTCGATTTTTCAATTCCTCGATATTTCTATTTTTCAGTTGTTTTAATTTCTAAATTTTAAATTCTTGATCTTTCGATTTGTCGATTTTCCAATTTTTCGATTTTATAACTTCTCGATTTTTCAGTCTTCCAATTTTTTATTTCTCGATCTTTATTTTTTCGAGTTTTCAATTTTTCAATTTTTTCTACAAAAAGCAAAGTTTTTAAACTGAAATTTTTAAAAAGCGTAAACTAGGGAAATTTGAATTATTTTCCCTGAAGCGCTCTCGTACACTGCATTCCTGCGCAAACACGATTTTTTTCAGGTTGTTCCGGTAAACTTGAAAATTCAAAAGTTGAAAAGTTGAAAAAAATGATGAATTAGAAATCGAGAAAACTAAAAAATTGAAAAAACGAAAAATTTAAATATACAAAAATGAACAATTCAACAGTTGAAAAATCGAACAACCGAAAACTCAGCAAATTGAAAAACAAATCTTAAAGAGTTGGAAAATTAAAAAAATGCAAAATTGCGAATCGACACAACTAAAAATTTAAATAATTTTTAAAACGCGAAAAACTAGTTTTATTATTTTTTAAAGAGAACAACTTGCTGTAAGTATGTCATTTTTGAAGCTTTCAAATCGAAAATAAATTTTCAAATATCGATATATCAGTTTTTCTAATAAACACCTGAATCCTTTTTTTTCTTCTCATTCTTTTAATATGTGTTTCTTAGAAAAGTAAAAAATTGCAGTAACTATCACCTTTAAATATAGAAAATTCTTAAGGCGTTTATTTCTGAATCCTTCTATTACTAAGAAAATTCAAAAATAAACTGTGACTCTAAAGCCCGAGGAGAGGTCAATCAAAATACATATGTGAAAATATATATATTTCATTCAAAAAAACTAAGTTGTGTATTACGCCTTAAAAACGAAACACACTGTATAGTTAATAATTTTGAAGTAACAATTAATAAGATATCGAGAAACGCGTGCTTAGTGATTCAGGCTATATATTCTGATTAAGACTTTCTTAGTCTTTATGACTATAGTTTATTTTCGAAATTCCAATGCAACGTTGCCACAGTATTCTAATTTTCTTGAAATTTTTAGCAATGGAAGGGTTCACAAAAAAATCGCAATAGGGTTATTTTTAAAATTTGGGTGACAATACTGTGTGGAGAGATAAATAAAGATAAGATTGTGATATAAATAACATAGGGTTTTCAGTGGCAACGTTGAATTGAAATTTCAAAAATAAACTATGCCTATAAAGCTTAAAAAGATGCTAATAATAAACAATATGTACAAATATATCGACTATTCGATTAAAAAAAATAAGTTGTGTGGTCTGTCTCGAAAACATAACACCCTGTATAGTCGTGTATAATTTTACTATAATTACTCGAAACACTTACTAAAATTATTTTGAACTACACAGTGTTCTGTTTTAGAGCGTAATACAGAAGTCAGTTTTATCAAATGGCACGCCCTGCATATTTTTACATATTCTGATTGATCTCTTCTTTACCTTTATAACCACAGATTCTTTTTTAAATTCTGATGCAACGGTGCCACGTTATTCAAATTTTCGTTTTTTTGTGGAGAGATAAATATAAATACAGGTGCACGCATTGTTGTGCTACAAACAAAATTTTTAAATATCGATATTTCAGTTTTTTCAGTGTGTTTTATTTCTGCATTTTACTGTTTATGTTTCCACAAAATATTGCAACACAGAAAATTGGAATAAGAATGTGTAAAAATATACAGGTGTTCTATTAAAAAAGAAAAAAAAAAACTACATATGTTATACCAAAAATATGTGAAAAAATTGAATCGACGCCATAGAAGTTAGAGTTTTATTATGAAGTGAGGATTAACATGTTTCGGTACCTACCGGTACCATCATCAGAGCTAAATGATGAATATGAAATTAGCTTGCAAAAAACACAAGTTATAACACTTACCCGAAATACAAAACTTAGAAATTACATAATTAGTAACACAAATTAGGCTTGAGAGCTCTGTTAGTGGCAACCTCAAGGTCTAATTAGGAAGTGCAAGGAATTAAACATATGAAGCACAAAAGAAATAAAAGGGTAATCAGCGCCACCTATCGAGATCTCTAGAAATAAAAACGTAATAAGCGCCATCTATCGAGTGTTCTACAAATAAAGTACAGAAAGAGAAAAAATAAAACCGGGGGAGAACAGTAGCCTGGAAATATTTAAGAAATAGATAGCAGGGAAGAAAGGAAAGGGATATTGAAACTAGTTTGTTCATTCACACAAATTAGTTCAGGATCTCTAACAGCTTTATAAATTTCAAGAATTTTGAAAAAATAGAGTGGAAAATGTTTCTGCCTTTGGCCAACATATACTGTGTTGCAGTCATGTTGGCCAAATTTTAATTTTAATTGATAAAAACCCGAATGAGGGAAAATAGCGACAGGGTCTTCGTTTCCTAAAAACAAAGAATAAAGGTTAGAAAACCAATTTTTTCCCATACTTTTGGTACAAACAATCAAAAAATTATAAATAATACTCGTATTATAAATTCGCATTTTATTTAATATTTCCTAAAAGACAAAATAAATCATTTAACGGTTTTGGCGCATAATTAGCGGCTATATTGGTTAGGAAAAAACGAGTTTTGAGTTTTTCCAAAAACAAAAACCGCACTGTCTGTATGACATCGATAACCATTTCCCACTTCTGCTATATCGGTACTGTAAATTTTTGTCGATACACCCCATATGATGAAGAATTACCGACAAATTGTTTAATGGAATGTAAAACAGTGAAACAAATTGTCCTTTTCCGAATTTACTTGAAATTGTAAACACATCGTATGCAAATTCCGCTATTATTTGCAAACTAAGGTCCTCACAGCCACCGCCCTAAGCCCAATTAAACTTCACACAAGCTAAACCTTCAGTGGGTGTCTGACGACCCAACAAACCTCCATAATCACAAAACGCGAATTTAATTCGACGTGTCTCAACTCCGACGAGAATTCGAAATAAATAACTCAAGTCGCAGTTGAACAAGCACAAACATAAACGACGAACAGACGTTATTTAGCCAAGATAGCAGTATTTATTCGGGAGATAATCACATCGGAACAGTCAGAAAGCGAAAGGAGCAAGCTTGTAGCATTAATGGTCAAAATTAAAACTGTCTATTGCGATTCGACTTACCGCATCTACGCTCTTACAATCAACACTCTTTCCCAATCTACAATCTCCAACGTTCGAGCGAAACTTTTCTCTCTATGGGTTAGTGCACCATGCAAGAACAACAACAACACATGCAAAAAACTACGAGTTAGTCGCCTCGCTATGGACAAGGCACTAAAAGCTCTTACCAATGCTCGCACAGAGACTCCGGAGAAGACGTTCTCAATGAGTTTGTTAGAGGCGATCATAGCATCGGACAAAGATTTAGTACGCTATTCGACAAAACAACACAATGAGAAACACATGCACAAAGACACTGTCGACAAACAGCAGCTCTTACCGTTCGATCGCTACGGTTGCGTTTTAGTGAAACTTTGTCGTCTTCGATTTTAGTTAAATCGCCGAAACTCCTACACTGATTGCGGACAAAACAAAAAATTAAGGCCGGTCATGCTAGGAAAGCTAAATTGCAACTAAAAAATAATTTGGCAAGGCTTACCAGGTTTTTCACGTTTACGTTATAGAAAGAGTCCTCGTTATGAGTGTTAGTTCCGTTCTAAAAAACAATTAATTGAGAAAAAAAAACTAACTAAAAGCCGAAGGGGAAAGGGGGCACAATGCACACGGACTTACAACTGAGATGTTTTCTTTTTCTTCTTTTCGAGACTTTTTCGATTTTTTCTTTTTCAGTCCTTTATTGTCTGACGAGTGGGATTCGATAGTTGTGGTTTCTACATAGGATTCAGTCACTTGGGTGCTCTAGATGCAAAATAATAAGACTAGTAAATATGGCAGAAATAAAAGGGGTTCCAGGGGCGGACAAGAGCAAGATTAAAATTTTTAAAACATCGTGTTGTGTGAAACTTAATAATTTAATTTTTCTTTTTTTCTTTTTAGTTAGACAGGTTAACTTCACAAAAAATTTCAGATTTAAGACCAAAAGAATCCATAAAGCACAAGTGTAAAAAATCGCCCGTCATCGCAGAGCTGATAAAATGATTTATTACGATGAAACTCGTGCGGTGGGAGGAGCATCATCGACAATATGTTTTTTTTTAATGTTTTCTCTTCCAGTATCTCGTTTGGAATCTATTTAATGGTTACAAGACAGCTTGTTTAACAATTAATTGAATACAAAAAAATCTCCTTAAATAAAAATAATCAACTCGTAAAGGTCATTGAAATAGAGAAACCGAGGGTGGGTGGAGCTGACGGTGAGTTTTTACTTCCTGAGGATGAGCAAAGTCCTCAACTTGTGATTTATGAATCCGTATTGAATTTTGATATTTGATATTTTTGAAAAAAAATCAAATTTTAACAATTTTTCGAATTTTGTACTTTTCGCCTTCTCGATTTCTCGACATTTCAATGTTTCGATTTCTCGATTTTCAGTGTTTCAATTCTTCGATTTTTCAATTTTTCAAAACTTCAGTTTTGGTATTTTTCATTTTTTCAGTTTCTCAACTTTTAGATTTTTTTATTTTCCCATTTCTCGATTTCTTGACATTTCGAAATTTGTTTCTCGACGTCTCAATTTCTCGATTTTTTAAATTTTGGATTTTTCTTCCTCGATTCTTTGATCTTTCACATTTTCTATTCTTCAATTTTCCTTAGATTTTTCGATTTCTCAATTTTTTGTTACTTCAGTTTCAGGATGTTTCCGTTTTTAATTCTTCAATTTTTCGATACGTCAGTCTTGGGAATTTCAAATTTTTAATTTCAGATTTTTCGATTTTTCAATTAATTTTTCGATTTCCTGATGTTTCGAATTCCCGATTTTTCAATTTTTGGGTTTATCAACTTTTCGACATTTTAATGATTTTTTTGATTTTTTAAATATTAGATTTTTCGATTGCTCGATTTTACATATCTTTGATTTTTAAATTTTTGATGTTTCATTTACTCGATCTTCTGATCTTTCGACTTCTCGGTTTTTAGATTTTTCAATGTTTAATTTTTTAATTTGTCGATTTCTCGGGTTTTCAATTTTTCGACTTCTCGACTTTCCAATTTTTCGATTTTCCAATTTTTCAACTTCTCGGTTTTAAATTTTACGATTTTACAATTTTTTGATTTTTAGATTTTTCAATTTTAAAATTTTTCCATTTTTAAGATTTTCGATTTTTTAGTTTTTCTATTTCTAAATTTTTCGGTTTATCGATTTTTTAGATTTTAAATTTTTCAATTTTTCGGTTTCTTGGGTTTTCAATATTTCGACTTCTCGACTTTTCAATTTTTCGATTTCCCAATTTTTCAACATTGCAGTTTTGGGATTTTTCAATTTTTCGATTCATCAATTTTTCGATATTTTAATTTTTTGATTTTTTAAATTTTAGATTCTTCGCATTCTCTTTTCCAATTTTTCGATTTCTCGGTTATGAATTTAACGGTTTTAAAATTTTTTGATTTTTAGATTTTTCAATTTTTAAATTTTTCCATTTTTCGAACATTCAATTTTTCACTTGTCAATTTTTCTACATTTTAGTTTTGAGATTTCCCGATTTTTCAGTTTTTCGATTCTTGAATTTTTCGATTTTTTTAGTTTTTCGATTACTCAATTTTTCTGTTTATCGATTTGTTAGATTTTATATTTTTCAATTTTTCAATGTGTTAATTTTCCGATTTCCTGGGTTTTCAATATTTCGAGTTTTCGACTTTTCAATTTTTCGATTCATCAGTTTTTCGATTCTTCGGATTCTCCTTTCCAATTTTTCGATTTCTCGGTTATAAATTGAACGGTTTTACGATTCTTGGCTTTTTCAATTTTTAAAATTTTCGATTTTTTAGTTTTTCGATAACTCAATTTTTCGACTGTTCAATTTTCTCCACATTTAGATTTCTCAATCTGTTGATGTTTCGAGTTCTCGATATTTCGAATATTCAATTTTTCGTTTGCCAATTTTTCAACATTTAAATTTTTGGGATTTTTGGATTCATCAATTTTTCAACATTTTAATGTTTGGATTTTTTTAGATATTAGATTCTTCGAATTCCCGATTTTCCAATTTTTCAACTTCTCGGTTATAAATGTTACGGTTTTTCAAATTTTTGATTTTGCAGATTTTTCGATTTTTCCATTTTTAAAAGTTTACAATTTTTTTAGTTTTTCGATTGTTCAATTTCCGATTTCTGGATTAATCGAGATTTCGATGTTTCAATTTTTCGATTGTTCAATTTTCTCCAATTTTCGATTTCTCAATTTTTGGTGTTTCGAGTTCTCGATATTTCAATTTAATTTTTGAATTTCTCGAATTTTCAATATTTCGAATAGTCAATTCTTCGTTTGCCAATTTTTCAAACATTTCAGTTTTTGGATTTTTGAATTTTTAGATTTTCCAATTTTTCAACATTTCAGTTTTGGGATTTTTCAATTTTTCGATATTTTAATTTTTGGATTTTTTTAATATTAGATTCTTTGAATTCTCGATTCTCCAATTTTTCAACTTTTCTGTTATAAATTTTACGGTTTTACAATTTTTTGATTTTTTAGTTTTTCGATTTTTCAATTTTTCATTTTTTAATTTTTCGATTTCTCGGATTTTCAATATTTCGATTTACGACTTTTCAATTTTTCGATTTTCCAATTTTTCAGTTTTGGGATTTTTCAATTTTTCGACATTTTAATTTTTGGATTTTTTTGAATATTAGATTCTTTGAATTGTCGATTCGCCAATTTTTCAACTTTTCGGTTATGAATTTTACAATTTTTTTATTTTAAGATTTTTCAATTTTTAAATTTTTTCATTTTAAAAATTTTTGATTTTTTAGTTTTTCGATTTTTCAAGTTTTCGTATTTTTGATTTTTTAGATTTTAAATGTTTCAATTTTTCATTTTTTAATTTCTCGATTTCTTGGATTTTCAATTTTTCGACTTCTCGATTTTTCAATTTTTCGATTTTCCAATTTTTCAACATTTTAGTTTTTTGATTTTTTAAATTTAGATTCTTCGGATTCTCTTTTCCAATTTTTCGACTTCTCGGTTATAAATTTAGCGATTTTAAAATTTTTTAACTTTTAGATTTTTCAATTTTTAAAATTTTCGATTTTTTAGTTTTTCGATTTTTCAATTTTTAGATTTCTGGATTTATCGAGATTTCGATAATTCAATTTTTTGACTGTTCAATTTTCTCCACATTCCGATTTCTCAATCTTTTGATGTTTCGAGTTCTCGATATTTCGAATATTCAACTTTTCGTTTGCCAATTTTTCAACATTTAAGTTTTTAGGGATTTTTCGATTCATCAAGTTTTCAACATTTTAATTTTCGGATTTTTTTAGATATTAGATTCCTCGAATTCACGATTTTCCGATTTTTCAACTTCTCGGCTATAAATGTTACGGTTTTTCAAATTTTTGATTTTGCAGATTTTTCCATTTTTACATTTTTCCATTTTTAAAAATCCACGATTTTTTAGTTTTTCGAATATTCAATTTTTCGATTTCTGGATTAATCGAGATTTCGATGTTTCAATTTTTCGATTGTTCAATTTTCTCCAATTTTCGATTTCTCAATTTTTGGTGTTTCTAGTTCTCGATAGTTCAATTTAATTTTTGAATTTCTCGGATTTTCAATATTTCGAATAGTCAATTCTTCGTTCGCCAATTTTTCAAACATTTCAGTTTTTGGATTTTAAATTTTTCGATTTTCCAATTTTTCAATATTTCGAACACTTAATTTTTCATTTGTCAATTTTTCCACATTTCAGTTTTGAGATTTCCCGATTTTTCAGTTTTTCGATTCTTGAATTTTTCCATTTTTTGAATTTTGGATTTTGCGATTTCTTTTCCTTTGATTTTTACAAATTTTCTGATTTCTCAATTTTTCAATACATATTTTAATTGCTGGATTTTTAAATTCTTGGATATTTTGATTTTGAAATTTTCGATTTTTTAGTTTTTCGATTTTCAAAAAGCATTTTCCACAATATTTCATACTGTCCTATTTATACCACTAGTTTTTACTTTATAGAGGTTACAGGAAAACAAAAATCGCATGTTTTTTTATAATTTTTGAAAGAAACAAGATTTGTTCAGCTGCTGTTCAAGAGCGAGGAAAGTTTTGTGTCACCTTCACTTAAAATAAGTCTTATCTTAAATGAAGATGTCATCTCTAAAAAAGCAACACTTCATGAATATTTTTTTAAGACTTAAATTTTTTTATTTGCCAATATATATCCAATCTTTCACCCCAAAGCAAATGTAATCACCAATCACAAAAACGTAGGCGGGGCTAATTTAACTCTCTAAACTACGAGTTACGATTAGCTCCACCCACCTGCCCCTTCACCACTTTAACCGCTGATTACATTAGCTGTGAAATGATAGGCAGACGTTGTATTGGCAAGTGGGAGAATTCATCGTGACACAGTAACTCATTACAAAATTTTAAAAAATAGGTTTAGATATTAAAGAATATATATTTCTGCTCCACCCACTAGTACAAAATCCGCCTTAATAAATCATTTTATTGGTTAAGAGATGAAGAGCGACGTTTATACCCTGGTACCTCACAATGGAATTCATTGTTTGTTCCGTCTAACAGTTACAGTGTTAAACCTGTGATTTATAAGACACACATGAGTAATTAAGAAACATTCTTAATGCTCAGGTTTGAATAAATTGTTGGAAAGATTTAGTTTAGATTACATTAGTTGCGACTATAAAATTTACTTTTTTTGATGGGTTGGTAGATATGAGAGATAAAAGGCGGCTCTTACAGTGACCAATAACAAATTTAAGTTAAGTAAGTTAAAATTAGCCCCGCCCACCTCTACTTCTCAGTAATCGGATTTACTCGAAAAACTGAATGCCAATAAATAAACAACTTTTTACAAAACCTTAAACCAGTTAACCAAACACCACACTATTTTTTACGGACTTTGTACTTGTTCTAAGGTTGAATGAGGTAATTGAAAATTCAATCACAACGAAATGAGAAAATTTCTCAACTAATTATACTGAACAAAATAGGTCTTTAGGGACTGCTGATATAACGACTCCAACCACCACATCTTTAACGATAGCGAGATATGACTTACTCACTGCCATTTTCAACACATTCAAGTATATTAAAAGAAAAGTTGTGACCTAGTGGAGATCGATTTTATTTTTAATTTAATTCCCCTGTCTCGTCCGCCTCTGGGTCAAGTCCAGCCGGACCTACATTTTCAAAAGTGAAAATTTAATCATAGCAAGGAATTAACAACCATGCAGAGAAAACACCAAACAGCCACTTACTGCCCACTTCCGTTCTCCCTTCCCTTCTTACCTCTTCGCTCTCAAACTTGTTAATCTGCTTCAAAATATCCACGCCTTTCGTCTCTTCATAAACCTCATCCGCAACCTTATCACTCTCGTCGACATTCTCGCACTCCTCCACTTTGTCCACTTCGTCCTCCTTCGTCTCGAGTCCTTCACTCACTTCCTCTTGCACCTCGTCCTCCTCCCGCAACTCGCCCACGTTCTGGTATATCACCTCGTCACCCTCCTTCTCCTTCGTCTCACCCAGATCTTTCAAATTCTCATAAATTGTCTCTTGTACGTCTTTAAGATTCTCGTAAATTATTCCGTCTTTGTGTTGCTTCAAGAACTCCGAGTTCTCGTACACGTTCTCGCTCCCGTTTTCGTTCTCTTCCGAGTTCTCTTCTTTATCCACGATCACCCATTCCGACTCTTTCGGCTTTACTTCGTCTATGTCCGTCACTGGTTCGCTCTCGCCGTTGGATTCTCTCCGAAAACCTTTCAAGAAGTCGATGTTCTCCTCGGAGGGGGTGAGCATAGGTGACGTCACTGTTTGTGTGAAGAGGAGACAGGAGCCGACGTCCGTCGATAACAACATTCTGTCTTTTGCGGATTTCACCTGGTGGCATTTTGACGATTTGTGTGCTTATTTTAAGTCTAGTCGGCGCTTTAGTAACTGCGGTTGTGTAAATTTAGAAAAAAGATTTTCTGCATCTCATCGATAAAGTTGTTGAGAAAATTGTGACATTAATAAATATATTTTTTTTCGTTTAAAATTAAACATTGGCTATTTGCCTGACTCTATGTAAACATTATTTAGGAACTCTAGTTCGAATAGTATCCACATTAATGATAAAATTTTAACTTTTACGAACCGAATTTTGAAAACTCGTTAAAGATTTGAACTTCTTTGGCGATTTCGCGCCAAAACCTACAAACCTCACTATCCGCCTCCCTCGATTCGCACAGATCCGTCAACGTCAGATCGGGCCCGTTCGTCCTGTCTTCCTCAATGTCCTCGTAAACGCTCGACGGTTCGTCCTCTTTCTGCGGACACGTCAGCGTCATGTCGATGTATTGGTCCGTTTTTTCATCAGTCTTATTTGTTTGGTGTCCAACATTTTCATAGATGCTATCCTCGTCCCGATGATAGCCGTTTTGTTTCTGGATGCCGTTCGTCTCGACCGGCTCTTCGTAGTAGTGCTCCTGTTCAGCTCGGATGAAGTCTTCGGTGGTTCTCGACACGATTCGTGCGTCGTCGGGGTTCTGGAGGTCGTCCTGAAAACGCAGGTTAGTACCACACGGCACGCGGTTAGAGTAGGGAGAGGGGAGTCGTTCCGAAAAAATCGACACGGGGGCGATCTTTCCGGAAGACCGGGGGCTGAATTGAGAAAAGCACACACTTGGCTCATGCAGTTTTTTAGCCGGAGGTTAAATTCTTCCATCAACGCTTCTTCTAGGTTATCGTCGGGCTCACTTACGATTCGAGATTTCTTCACGGTTTCGGCCATCTGGAAAAGAAAAGAAACTTAAATGAGGGTGTTAATGGTTTGAGTTATTTTTGAACGATTTAAAAAAAAAATTGAACTGAAGAATCGGAAAATGGACAAATCGAAACATCAAAAAGTATATATTACACAACCCACAGAGTGATGTTTTCGACCTAAGAATTTCCTTTAATATCAAAGTTAAATTAACTTCACTAAATTTTTTAAACTAATTGAAATTCACTGAACCCTTTTCGTTAAAAAAAATTGGTCGAAGGTTGTTACGATAGAACCTCCCTCGCGCCTGAAGTGTAATCTAGCAAAACCAGCTTTTTTGAAAAATCATAAAATTTGATTTAGTTTTTTGTTTGTTTTTTTAATAACCTCTATAAAGTAAAAATCAGTGGCGTAAATAACACTCCGCACTCCCGCAGCCCCAAGAAGACGTGGTCCATACAAGTAAGAACAAACGAAATATACTAAAAAATAATAATATATTAGAAGATATCTCATTTGCCAAAATCAGTCTTATCTTAGCAGGTACTAGCCCCGCCCACCCACCCTCTATTTTTTTACCAAGATAACCAACGATAAAAATGCTATTCGAAATATGGAGAAGTTGAAAAATCGAATAATCGAAAAGTCTAAAAGTCGAAAAATCGAAAAATCGAAAAGTTGAAAAACCTAGAAACTGAAAAATTCCTTAAATTGAAATGTTGAAAACTTGACAAATCTAAAACTGCTAAAATCGAAAAACTATAAATCTGAAAGTCGAGAAATTTTAAAAACCTAGGCTCCGATATGTCGGGAAATAGAAAATTCAAAAAATTTAAATGTTAAAAAATCTAAAAATGGAGAAATGAAAACATCAAAAAAACGTAAATCCGAAAAATCAGAAAAATCGAAAAATTAAAATCGAAAAATCTAAAAAAAATTCAAAACTGACATGACGAAAAATTGGGAAATTGCAACATTGAAACATCGAGAAATCAAAACATGAACCGATTGAGAAATCGAAGAGTCAAAAAATCGAAATAGCCCAAAAGCGCAGAATCAAAATTTGAAAAATTTCAAACCAAAAAATCGGCAAATTGAAAAATCAGGAAATTGAACCATCGAATAATTGAAACATAAATAATAAAAAACTGACAGTCGAAAATCAAAAATTGTAAAAATCAAAAATTGAAAAACCGACAAATCGAAAAATCGAAAGATAGTAACAGTAAAAAATTGAAAAATTCGAAAAATTGAAAAATAGGAATATCAAAGCACTGTAAATGTGAAAAATTGAGAAATCGAAAAATCGAAAGATCGAGAAATTGTTACAAAAAATCGAAAAATCAAAAATTTTTTAAAATTCGAACAACGAAAAATTGAACCAAGAAACGGAAAATCTAGAAATCGAAACGTCAAAAAATCGAAAACGTAACGTCGGAAAGTTGGAAAATCGAAAAGTAAAATAACGAGAAATCGAAAAATTGAAACATCGAGAAATCGAAATACCCCAAAAGCAAAGAATAAAAATTTGAAAAATTAAAAAAAAATAATAGATCGAAAAATCGGGAAATTTAGTAATCGAAACATATAAATCGCGATAAATCCAGAAATACAAAATCTGAAAAGTCGATAAATTCAAAAACCAAAAAATTTAAAAACCGAAAATCTAGAATCGGGAAGTCAAAAAAATGAAACATTAAAAAAAGAGAAAAATTGAAAAACTACAAATCGAAAAATCTAAAATTTAAAAAATCAAAAATTTTAATAAATTTGATTAACTGAAAATCGAAAAGATGAATAATTGAAGAAAAAAACGAAAAATTCCAAAATTAAAACATCGAAAAATTAAACAATCAAAAGATGAAAAATCGAAAAATCAAAAAGGCCAGAAATCGCAAATTTAAAAATCTATAAAAATTGAAAATATCAAAAACCTGAAAAATTAAAAAATCGAAAAATCAAAAGATCGAGAAATCAAAGATCGAGAAGTCGAAAAATCGAAAAATTAAGAAACTGAAACAGATCAAAATCGAAAAGATAAAAAAATTAAAGATTGATATAGAATAACTGAAAACCGGAAGAACCGAAAAATCAAAAACTGGAAAACCGAAAAAGTGAAAAAATCGAAAAGGCAAAACACAGAAAACCCGAAAAAAATAGATAAACCTAAATATCGAAAATTTAGAGACACCAAAAATTAAAAAATGGAGAAATTTAAGAATCGAGAAATTTAAAAATCCTAAAACTGAAATATCGGAGAAAAGAGAAACCGAAAAATAAAAAAAATGAGAAATCAAAAATTAGAAAATGATGAGATTAAAAAAAAAATAAAAGTCGCAAAACTGAAGTATCAAAAATTGGAAAATCGAAAATTTTTTATAGACGTTAAAAAATTTTAAAAATTGGAGAATCGAAAACTGACGAAACGAAAAATTGAAAAATCCCAAAAGTAAAATTTCGAAAAATTGATAAATCAAAAACCGATAAGACGAAATCTAAAAAATTGAAAAATTGAAAAAAAAATGAAAAATCATAGAATTAAAAAAACCCAAAACATTTTATTTAATTTAACAATCGAAAAGTCGAAAAATCGTAAATTTCAAAAATCTAAAAATTAAAAAATCGAAAAATTGACAAATACAAATATTGAGAACTGAAAAAAATCGAGAAATCGAGGAGTCCAAAGTCGAGAAGTCGAAAAATCTAAAAATTAAAAAAGTGAAATAGACCATAATCGAAGTTAAAAAATGAAAAATTGATATAGAACTGAAAACTCCAAGACTCGAACAATAAAAAAACTGGAAAACCGAAAAAGTGAAAATCGAAAAATCAAGAAATCAAGTTGGGAGGTCTTGAAAAATCGAGAAATCCGGACACAGGAATATACAAAAATCGAGAAGTCAAACACAGAAACTCGAAAAATAGATTAACCGTGATATCGAAAAATCGAAAATTTAGGGGCGCCAAATATTGAAAAACTGAAAAATTTAAGAATCGAAAATTAGATCAGGAAATTGAAAAATCAAAAAACTGAAGAAAAATTGGAAAATCGACTGCTGAAGTGTTAAAAAACCGAAAAGTCGAAAAATTGGACTATTATAGACCCTAAAAATAAAAAAATGGGAAAATCTAAAACTGAAGAAACGAAAAAATGAAAAATCCCAAAAGTAGAATTTCGAAAAATTGAGTAATCAAAAATTGATCAACTGATAAACCGAAAACCAATAAAACGAAATCTAAAAATTGAAAAATTGAAAAAAAATTGAAAAATCATAAAATTGATAAAATTCAAAACCGAAACATCAAAAAATTTAACAATCGAAAAGCTCAAAAATTGTGAAATCAAAAAGTCGAAAAATCGTAGATTTAAAAAATGGAAAAATTAAAAAACCAAAATTCTGAAAAATCGAAAAATTAGAAATTATAAAAAAATCGGGAAATCGAAAATTTGAAAACCAAGAATGAAGAACCAAAAAAATTAAAAAATCCTAAAACAAAAGTATTGAAATATTGGAAAGTCGACTGCTGATAAAAACCGAAAAGTCGAAAAATTAATTAAACGAAAAATTGGAATTTTATACACTAAAAATGAAAAAACTGGATAATAATCGAAAACTGAAAAACCAAAAAATTGAAAAATTCCAAAAGTGAAATTTCGAAAAACTGAGTGATCGAAAAATGGATAAATCGATAAATAAAACCGATAAAATGAAAATCTAAAAATTGAAAAAACGAAAAAAATTTGAAAAATCGAGAAATCCAAAATTTAAAAAACAAGAAATTGAGGAATCAAAAAATTTAAAAATTATTACACAATTTTAAGTTTTTTCCAAAAATCTCGATGTCTAGGATAATAACTCAGCACGGATTCATAAAGCACGCACAAGTGGAGGAATACGTTATTTATAAAATTTAAACAGTATTTAAAGTAGCAAAATTTGGGGATGGCGTCATTCCTTTGTGGGTGGAATGATCACACAGGTTTTATCGTTCACATGATATCCCTAGCATATATTCAAAATTTAACAACAATCGCTCCGGTATTTTCGGATATTATCTGTCAAATAAAAATTGACACAGACGTCAGACAGACAGAAACAGGAGACCTATTTTTCGTACTCTAGGCGTTATGGAACGTCGAGTAAATTATGAAACGTAGAGAAAATATGAAAGCAAGCAGTCACCCGATGGATTCGATTACAACATGGGAAGAAATAAGAAAAAGTCAATTTGTTGGGCAGTGTCCAATCGAAGCTAAAAATATCCAGTAATGCTAGATTTTATAACATAGTCGTGATTTATGAAGAGTGAGTCTACAAAAAAATTGTCTAGTGGCCTCATCGTGATTCACGAGTCCCATTCTGCTGAAGATGCAACCCACAATACATTTTTACGATTTAATAGACGCAGTCCAAGATTACTCTATTAACTATTATTCGTTCTGCCGGGCTCGTTATTAGTCGTGGACCAGCTGTATATTTTCTCAAACACGAAGAGAATGAAAATTAACAGTAATTTAAAAATTCTTCCACAACATACAAATAAAAAAAATGTAAATTGCCACATTCCCAATTATGTATTTAAATTTCCAAGAACTCCAAAACGCGTCAAATTAACCCACAGAAATTAGTCCAACCCACCGCAACAATAAATTTTATTACAAATAATCACATACAGCACCTCCAAAAATTAGCACTCATCTGCATATCGCAAAAAAATCTAACAACTCAGCAAATCGCCGAACATCCTTAATTAAAACACCACGTTCACGTCACCTATCTAACGTTACCTTACCCATAAAAACCCACCATAAACAAACAACTGAAACGTACATTTAAGGATTCATTAAATTAATTAGAGAAAAGATTAAAATCTTCGGGTTTACGCAACAGGAAACACCGTCCGAGAACTAACAGGAATCTCCATTCAGGAAAAATGCACCTACCAAGTTTAAAAAATAAATGCTTGATAATTACTGTTGGCAAACTTAAATCTATCAGTGTTTTTATCTCGTCTTCGGTTCACGA